GAGTGTTCACTGGTGTTTGAACACGGCCGCTGCTTGGAGGAGCAGGGGCTCAGGTTGGAGTCTCAACCAGCTGCCTCATTCCCCCACGGCCCTAGACTCCCCCCGAGACTCACACCTGTGCTGTGGGGCTGCCCAGCCCACTCCCTGCCCTCCTCCTTCCTCCTCTCACCTTTCCTGCTTCTCTGGGCAGAGTGGGCTGAGCAATTGACAAAGATGGGCCGGGGCAAGCACTTCATCGGAGACTTCCTGCCGCCAGATGAGCTGGAGAAGTTCATGGAGACCTTCAAGGCTCTGAAGGTGAGCTGGGAGGGCCCCCAGGCACCAGCCCCTACTGTGGGCCCGTCCAGCAGGCAGCCTGCGCAGTGTCCCAGCCCCGCCTGCGTCAGGCGCCTGCAGCGGCCTTGAACGCCCCCCTTGCTCACAGGAGGAGCTGGGCCCTCTTGCCGTGGGAGACATCTGTTTATGACAGACGCCGTCTGTGTAGGGAATTAGCAAATAGCAGCTCAGCTGCTGCTCTAGAAACATTTCCTGGGGCTCCAGGGAAATTCTCCTTCTAGTGGAGCCAATTAAGTGCACTTTACCAGCAAAGCGTTTCTCAGGCAGAAGCCCCTGCAGACTGCGCTCTCCAGAATGAGAGCTTAGCATTCCTCCCGTGCTGCCATCGGACTTGCGAAGAGTGACAGCTGACGTGGCACATCCCATGTCTTTTGGGGTTGTTTTGTAAAACTGCTTTGTACCACATAACCTCATCAACTAGGCAGTTACCTTGTTGACCACATCTTTTTCACACTCTTAACAAATTGCTCTCAGAACGTAGGACCTTTCTTTACTGATGAACCATTAATCTTTTCCATGGTGGTCCAGGCCTGTGTGACCTGTCACCTTGCCCTCTTTGACTTGGCCACCAGGGAGCTCGGTGCTAGGTCTGGCCCTGGGGGAAGAGGAGCTTGGTCTGTTCTCAAGGAGTCTGACTGGTGTTGGGGAGGCAAGCGGACAGGTGGTCCCAGTGGCCAGTGAGGCCATAGGTTGGGAGGTGGTTTCGGGCAGGAGCTGGGACTGGGGACGGCTGCAGCCCTAACAGATGATGGCTGCCTCCTTACCCTGCAGGAGGGCCGTGAGCCTGATTACTCAGAGTACAAGGAGTTCAAGCTGACGGTGGAGAACATCGGCTACCAGATGCTGATGAAGATGGGCTGGAAGGAGGGTGACGGGCTGGGCTCAGAAGGCCAGGGCATCAAGAACCCAGTCAACAAGTGAGTGCAGCCCTGATGTGGGGGTTGGGGCAGGGGTGTCCCACACAGAGACACAGGTCCGGGGCTCGGGTCTGGTCCTCCTGGGCTGGGAGTCAGGAGTATGAACTCTGGTGGCTGGGCCACCTTGGGCTCTCTCGTCTCCCACAGTGCCAGGTGTATCCCATGCAGATGTCACCCAGCCCAGCGCAGCCCCCACGTTGAGCTGTGTTGGGGTGCTGCCACTGAGCCCAGGGCCTGCACCCCCTCCCCTGCTAGCACCAGCCCGGTCTCCCTGCTTACACTGTCCCATCACCCCCCTGCAGGGGCACCACCACAGTGGATGGTGCCGGCTTCGGCATTGACCGGCCAGCGGAGCTCTCTAAGGAGGACGATGAGTATGAGGCCTTCCGCAAGAGGATGATGCTGGCCTACCGCTTCCGGCCCAACCCCCTGGTGCGTGCTTCCCCATCCCCCCACAACACGTCTGGTTGGGCCGCATGGTTCCTCACATCACTGTAGGGAGGTGGTGGTGCTGGTAACAGAAGTGTCCCTCCTTCCCTGGTCCAGCTAGGCCAGGTCTCACCAGCACCCCTCCACTTCTCCGCCTGCATTAGAGCCTCCACACCTCCTGAGAGCCTGCCCTCTCATCTTGGCTCAGCTGCCCCTGGAAGGTTCTGGACAAGAGGAACTGCTCTGTCTTTAGCATTAACGCACTCCCCTTTTTTATCTTTTTTGCCTCCCACAGAACAACCCCAGACGGCCTTACTACTGAGCATTCTGGAGAAACTGCACAAATGTACTTTCCAAACGACTGACCGTCCCTGGACTGTGGAATGTTCCAGCCTGCATTTCTGCCCGCCCTTCCCGTTGTCCTGAGTGTCGTGCCGTGTATTAAAATCCCAGTGCTTGCCCACCGTGGCAGCCTGGTCCTGCCATCGCCAGAAACCTCTCCTGTTCCTTAGCAGTGGGACCAGGGTGGGCAGGTGGAGACGGTGTGCTGCTGTGAAGGCTCCTCAGCACCCAAGGAATCCTGGAGAACCACCCGGCCATTTGTCTGTCTGTGGGGTTCCCCCATGATCCTGGGTTGGAGTTGAGGGGCAGACCCGTGGAGCTCCCTCTGAGTGGGGCAGGGTGGCCAGCCTGCAGCCAAAACCTGGCTGCACCTGGGCCAGGAGCATCAGGGGCCTCCCAACCTAGGACTACACTGCAAGAGGAGGTTAGGGAAGGGTCTTGCAGCAGGGCACACCTGTGCCCTTCACCTCGCCAGCAGGTGGTGCTGACGAGGTGCCACACACAGCAAGCCTGGCTGGTGATGGCTGCAGCCCAGGCTTCCCCAAGCGCCCTGGGTCCCACCAGTGTGGGGGACACACGAGTCCCTGGGGCTCATGCCTTACGGGGACAGCTTCATGGACTGCTATACTGTGCTAAGATGTCACCCGCTTCCTGGAGGAGCGGGGGTGGGTGAGTCGCCCATCACCAAGATGTGTGCTAAGAGCTCCCCACGGCTCCAGAGCCCGTGCCTCACATTGGCGCAGAAACCTTCTGGGGAATCTTGTTCAGCTGCTGAGTGAGCAGCCTGGGCAGGGTCCCAGGAATCTGCAAGCCATGCTCCCAGTATCAAGGCCTGAGAGGCCCCCACAACTCATTCACCTGCACCAAACACGTACACAGTGGGTCCTGCTTAACTCCTGTGGGCTCATGGACTCGGAGGACTTGAGCTGGGCATCAGGCTCCTGAGCCAGCCTGCATTCACACAGTCATTCAGCAAACACTGAGCACCGACTATGTTAACCAGATGGACATGATCTGCCCCTGGGCAGCCACAGTCTGCTGGGGATGTGGCAGTGAACCCCTAACATAATCTGAGACTGATAAATGCTGCAAAGAGGAACCAGGAGCTCTGGTGGAGACAGTCTGGGGAGTGTCCCAATGTGGGAATCCAGGGCCTGAGTCTCAGCAGCAGAGCCCAGGCTGGGGTGACACACGCCACCCTCTCTCCCCAACATGGATGCTATGCCCAGGGCAGGGCAAAGGGGTGACATATGCCTGTGTGTGGAGGCTGCCCAGAGGGCCAGGGTCCCAAACACAAGGGTGTAGCTATGGGCAGCCAGAGGTTCCAGTGATGGGGACCCCAGGCCTTGGTCCCAGGCACCCTACTGTCTAGGTCAAGGTCACCCTTCCCATCGACTTCTCAGTGTCTGGGAGGCTTGCCAGGCTCAGCCCGTGGACTTTGGCCCTAGCCAGGGGGAGAGTTGGAAGAGGAGGCCTCCAAATACTGTGTGTGTGCATGTGCCGGTGCCTCCCGGACACAGAGTGCAAGGTCAGGCCCGGACCAGACACCCCTGGCCCTGCAGAGTGAGGGGTGGGCCTGGGGTGGCAAGGAGGGCTGCCTGGAAGAGGGGACATTGGGATCTGCTTTAAGGGGTGAGGAAATACTCAAGTGTCCATCTTGCAGATAGAGAGGTTTGTGGGGTGTTAGCATCGCTAGAGTTGGGAAAGGTCAAGAAATGAGACTGGAGCCTCAGGTCAGCCCAGAGGAACCTGAACTTCACCCCACGGGCAAGTCACCTTGGGAGGGAGGCTGTCAGGCCAGTGGCCAGAAGATCATCTTGTCACTCAGGCTCAGAGATGGGACCCAGCTGACACAAGGCCAAGGGGCTGCATGGAGAAAGGCCCCTGGCTGGGGATGGTGGTGAGGATTAGAATCTTCCCCCAACCCCAGACTGTGGGTGCCCCCAGGGCAGGAATCCAGTGGGCACCGCTCACCCTGTTTCCAGCAGCCACAAGTACCAGATGGGTGAGAGAGCAAGGCTGGTCGGAGGGCATAACCAAGACAGGCACCTCTCCCTACCCTGCAGCCCTCTCCCTGGTCCAGCTTCCCCACCACCCACCCCCCTTGCAACTCCCCCTGCACCCAGCCCAGCCTCCTCCAGGCTGTTCAGAACCCTCCCATAGCTCCCCCACTCTGAGTCCGCACCCGCCCCAGACCTAGGCTCCTCTCTGCTGCTCAGCCACAAGCCTGAGCTCTTCTCCCTGCCAGGAACTCTGTTCCCAAACTCCTTATCAAGGTGGCTCCATCCCCACCTTCTAATCTCAGCCTGCCCCTTGAGCCTCCACCCGCCCATGTGAGCAGGGGCCCAGCCTCAGCTGCCCACAAGGTGTCCAGGCTATACAGAAGGAACACAGCACGGTATCACTGAGTCTAACGGATCCCCAACCCAGGGCACTGCGTGACCACCTGCCTTGAGATGGCCCCTAGGCTGTCAAAACTTCACAAGTAGACTCGTATTTGAATTTGTGGCCACTGCGTGAAAACTCAAAACCAAGTGCCCTGAAGGGAACTCTGCGCCCAAGCAGATGAGGTTCCGCCATCAGCGCGCACGGACAATGCCCACTTGATCCCGGGGCGGGGGAGGTCTGGAGACTGTGGGGAGTTACAAAGGGTCGAGGATGCGACGCTGGTGCCTTAGGATGAAGAAAGCAGAAGTGCAGAACAAGGCCCGGAGAACGAATTCCCTTAGAATGAAGTTGCTGGCCCGCGGCCTCCAGGACGCAGCCCCGGGCCTCAGAGCAGAAGCATCCCGAGGTGTCGTGTTCTAGCCTTCAATAAGAGGGAAACTGAGTCTGGGCGGCAGAAACGGCCAAGGGGACCCGGCTGAGTCCGGCGAGGGCGTAGAGGGGGAGGGGCGAGGAGAGGGGGCCGCTTCGAGGGGGAGGGGCCTCGGAGGCTTCCCGGGAGCGCGCAGGGCGGTCACGGCTGCGGCGACCGGACCAGGGCGCAGCGGGGGGCGACCTTTGCGCGGGGCGGGGCCGGGCCGGGCTGGGTCCTTGGCAAACGCCCCCCTCCCGCCCAGACGCGCCGCCGCGGAGGAGCCGAGCGCCCTGGAGGCCGCGCTGACGCCGAGACGGGGTCCGGGCGCCGCCACCATGGACATCCCACCGCTGGCCGGCAAGATTGCGGTTCTGTCGCTCGGCGCCCTCCCGGTGTCCTACGCGCTCAACCACGTCTCGGCGCTCTCGCAGTGCGTGCCGGGAGGACAGGGGCGGCCTCCTGGGGGGCGGCGGGGCCCGGCTGCGGGGGCGGGAGGATGCGCAGGCGGCGGACCCGGATCCCTGGAGCCCTGCGCCTCCGCGCAGCTCCGGCCGCGGGAGGATGGAGGCTGGGCCAGAGGAAACCCCCCCAACCGGAAGTCCCTTTCCGGCAGGCCGAGATGCTCTGTGGTAGGAGTGGGGGCGCTGCTGGGACGTTTGAGGCCCGGGGAGAAAGGATGTTGAGAAGCAGAGCCCCCCACAGGGCAGGGTTTTGGAGGGTTTCTGGGGCTTTCCCAGAGATGTGCCCAGCACGGGCTCCAGAGTCGCCAAGGGTCAAAGTATTGCTCCAGATAAGGTCCCCGTGACCTGGCTCTTGCCACACACACGCTCTGCTCCACCACCCCTGCCAGACGGTCCCTCCATCGCCTGTCTCAGGCCTGGGTCTTTCTTCTGTTAAGGGCTGGCACACCCTGTCCCTAGCCTCAGTTTCCCCTCTATGCTGTGACCTCCCCTGTCCCTGTCTCCTAACCCTAGACCCCAGCCCTGTGCAGCCAGCCACTGGGTACCAGGCATCTGCAAGCTCCTCACACTTCAAAACCCAGCTCAACCTAAGACATGGAGTAAAGGGAGTCTTGACTGTGGGATTGGCCCCTTGGGTACAAATTCCTGGCTCCATCCCCCTGGGCCCTGGGTGAGCCAGGTTGCCTCTGGGAGCCTCAGTTTCTTCATTGTGAAATGAACGTAATGCTAGATCTCATCCCATAGTTATTGTTAAGGATTATGAATAGTGTGCAAAGACTCTGATGTGGTCTCATCTGGTTACTATAATTGTCATTGTGGTCAGATGGAGCCAGGATGGGGATCCTAGGGGTTCACAAGAAGGTAGGAGCCTGGAGAGAGTGTGGAGGAGAGTGTGTGACCCTGGTTAGGTCTCCTGCCCTCTCTGGGCCTTGGTTTGCTTACCTGTGTTGGGGGCTGCCCAGAAACCTGGCTTCTATTATCTATACAACTGGGTGACCTGCCTTATTGGGTTGATGGGGACAGATCAGGGCAGGGGTAGGGTGGAGTTGATGGAGGTGCTTGGACTTTAGCCTAGAGGAGTAGGGAGCTTCAGACAGCGAGGTGTACAGAGCCAAGCACTAGAAGACCCCCTGGCAGGCATGGGAGCTGGTTCTGGCCACAGAGGGGCTCAGCGTTGTTGAATGACTAACTGAGCAAATTGAGTCAAACACATATCAGCAAATGACTGGATAAATCATACAGTCAGAAGGGGTTGACAGATGCCCCCTTTGTACGTGGCCCAAGTCAGGCAATGATTCTTTTTGAGGAGTCAGGGATGGCTTCCTGGAGGAGGAGCCATGAAAGATGGGCCTTGAAGGATGAGTAGGAGGTTGCCAAATGGAAAAGAGACTTCTGGAAGGACTTTCCAGGAGGGGGAATCAGCCATGGCAAGAGCCTGGTGATGGGAAAGGGCAGTTTCAGGGAACGGCCGGCATTCCTGGACGGACAGATACTTCAGCCTTGACACCTGGAGCTTCCCAGAGTCTGCTCTTGCTCTCACTGGGTGGGGGGCCGGGAGCGGGGGGCAGGAGGGTGCTCAGCACTGGTCCTGGCCTCCCTGACTTGCTTTTCTTCTCCACAGCCCGCTGGGGGTGGTGTTGATGAGTGCCCTGATCTTGGGTCTGCTCTTTGTGGCTATCTACAGCTTGTCCCGCGGGGAGATCTGCTATGACCCGCTCTATGCTGGTGAGTCAGTGGGAGGTTCCTGTGGAAGAGAACTGTGTGAGCAAGGGCCTCCTCCATCAGACTGGGGGCCCTTGAAGGGGCTCCCGTCAGACTGTAGGACCTGGAAGACCCTGGAGAACCCCCATTGATTGGGGAACCTCAGAGGGCCTCCCCCTTGAGACTTGGGACTCCTAAGAGCGGGGACTGTGTCTTCCCATCAGACTGGAAGCCCCTGAAGACTGTTCCTCCCCATTACTCTGGAGTCTCCTTGACGGCAGGGACAGTGCCTCTCCCAGTCTGGGAACCCCCAAAGGCAGGGACTGTGCCTCCCCATGAGGCTAGGCTGTGGGTCATGTGACCTGTGGAGTGGGGACTGGGAGCAGTTGGGTGCAGAGTCCTTGCCTAGAATCTGGGTCCCTGAGCGCAGCCTCAGGCCCTGCCCACACCCAGGGCGTGCCATGCCCATTTTCCCACAGTATTCGCTGTCTTTGCCTTCACCTCAGTGGTAGACCTCCTTATTGCCCTCCAAGAAGATGGCTATGCGGTGGGCTTCATGGAGTTCTACACCAAGGAGGTACGTAGGGGGCGGCCTGGGATGCCCCCTGCCCCGCTGCCTGTCTGAGCCCTGCACCTGTCCCTGCAGGGCGATCCGTACTTGCGCACTGCACATGGAGTCTTCATCTGCTACTGGGACGGCACTGTTCACTACCTCCTCTACCTGGCCATGGCTGGTGCCATCCGTAGAAGGTGCGTGTGGTGGGTGGGGTGGCACCGAGACCCTGGGAAGGAGGGCAAGTCCTCAGGTGGGGTCCAGGCCAGGGTGGAGCCAGAAGTGTCGGTAGGGGAAATCAGGAGGCCTCTCCAGGGCTCCAGCCAGGGGTGGTGGGAGAAGGTTTTGGGGAACGTCACAGATGTGAGTGGTGGTAGGCTGTCTTCTCTTGTACTGCCTGGTGCCTGGGCAGCCATTTCTGTCCTTGGATAGAGGATCTGACTGTTCATTCCCTCATTCAACTACCTATTGTCCCTTCTGGCCTGGGCAAAACTGGGAGGCACCCAGAGCTGTGGAGCCCAGGGTGGTCCCTGAGCCCTTGCTGGGGCTCTGAGACCAGGGGATGGGCATCTACTGGTCACTGTCCATCCCTCACTCAGGAAGAGGTACCGGAATCTTGGACTCTACTGGCTGGGATCCTTCATCATGAGCATCCTCGTGTTCCTCCCAGGAAACATCCTTGGTAAAGATTCGGCTTTGAGGAATCCCATCCCCTACAGGCTGGGTCACTGCTGTGCGCCTGGAGGTCCCCACTGGGTCCTCCGTCCCCTCCTCAGTGCCTGCAGAGGGCCCCCCGACCGTGGCTGTCCATGCACAGCCTCAGCCAGTAGCCTGCCCCGGCCTCTCCTCATTTCCTCCTGGGTGGAGGCATGTTCCACTTTCCTCCCTAGGCTGCTAGGCTCCTGATCCCAGTGGTTTGGCCCCGAATGCTCTTGACACAGGAAGGGAGTTTTAAGGCGGATCCGGGGGGGCAGAGTGAAAGCTTCATAGATAGGCCTTGGGAGGTTGAGCAGAGAAGGCAGCCCAGGATGTGGGGATGGCTGAGCAGGAGGAACCCCAGGGTGTATCCAGGGGGAGCAAAGATCAGCTAAAGTGTAGAGCCATATCCAGAAGGTAAATCGAAGCATGCCAGGCTGAGGAGCATGGACATCAACTTTTGGGCATCGGGGAGCCAGTGGTGTTAGAGTTTGAGCAAGGATGGCATTTAAAAATCAAGACTTACAGCTAGGGGCTCTAGCATAGCCCAGCTAACAGGTCCAGCCAGGCCTGGGAGATCCTCGCTGAGTGACACCCCCTCTCTCCTACCATGACAGGCAAATACAGCTCAGAGATCAGGCCTTCCTTCTTCCTTGCCATCCCCTATGTGCTGGTCCCTTGCTGGGCTGGCATGAGGGTCTTCAGCCAGTCCCAGGCGCCAACCTGTTGCACCCCCAACGTGGTGAGTGCTTTGCCCCCAGCAGGCCTCGTGCCAACATGCCTGAATGTCCCCCATTTGAGTTGCTTCTGGTCAAAAACGTTGTCTCTTGGGAGGGATCTCCTTGGTCATTGGAAAGAAGGGATAGGCCTTTATTGAATGCCTCTTGGATACCAGACTTCTCATGTGGGCTCTCCCCCATGTGCAGGCGCAGGAGGAACAAAGAAAGGGCCTCCTGCAGCGCCCCATTGACCTGGCCCTCGTCATCTACCTCGCCCTTGCTGGGTTCTTCACCCTCTTTCGGGGACTGGTGAGTCTGTGCTGGCCAGCCTACCCTTCTCCTGCCTCCAGCCCCACCCTTCTCCTGCCTCCAGGCCCTCTTCTCCCACACATGTTCCTTTACCCAGTGCAGAAAGGCCACTGCTGTCCCATCTAATCATCCAGGGAAGTTCTTCATCAAGTCTGACCTGAGTGTTCCATACAAAGCTCCATGCCTTGTAGGCTTCTTCCCAGCTCCAATATCCGTGGGTTCCCAGCCAGAGGGAGAGAACTAGGGTTGGGGGAGGCCATAGCAAGGGGTGTGGGCACCGCCTGGGAGGGTGGAGAAGGCTTCTTGTAGGAGGGATGTTTGAGGTGGGTTGTTGGTTTGTCTGTCTACCCCAGGTGGTGCTTGACTGCCCCACAGATGCCTGCTTTGTCTACATCTATCAGTATGAGCCATACTTGCGAGACCCCGTGGCCTATCCAAAGGTGCAGGTGAGAGGGCAGGTGGGAGGAGAGGGCAGGTGGGAGGAGAGGGCCATGGTCCTGTGGCAGGTAGGGGTCCACTGGGCCTCTTTGAAGCAGGTGCCAGGAACACAAGTCAAACTGGCAGAAACACAAATGGAATTTATTGCCCTACCAAAAAAGTACAGATATAGTCTTCAGGTATGGCTGGATCCAGGAGCTCAAGGATAGCTCTGTCTCTGGGCTCTGCTTTCTTTGTATGGGCTCCAATCCCAGGTAGTCCCTTTGTGGGATGGCGCCTTGGGTGGCTCCAGGCCTCCATCTGCCCTACTTAGCCACCCCAGAGGAATGTGAGCCCTTATTTCCCAAGAGCTTAAGCACAAGTCTCAAGCAGGCTCCAATTGGCCCAGTTTAAGTCACATGCCCATCTCCTAGCTGATCATTATGGTGGGGGCGGGGAGGGGTGTTCTGATTGGCCAGGCCAGGATCATATGCCACTTCATAAGTAAGGTGGGTGGGCTCAGTATATGTATGTGTGTGTGTGTGGTGGAGGGGGGGGGATACCCAAGGGAGAGAGAGGAGCAGTTTGCACAGGGTTGGGATGTCCAGAGAGCTTCCATCCTAGGTGGGGTCTGAGACTGGCCAGATCCTCCCTGGGGCCCCCACCTCAGGGGTCTCAGGAAACCTGGCTGGGGCAGCTGCTCATCCATTAGCTCTGTGCCTCTCAGATGCTGGTGTACATGTTCTACGTGCTGCCCTTCTGTGGCCTGGCTGCCTATGCCCTCATCTTTCCCGGCTGCTCCTGGCTGCCTGACTGGGCCTTGGTGTTTGCTGGAGCCATTGGCCAGGTGAGGTGGGGCAGGGGCGGGGTGGAGTGGGCAGGTGCAAAGGGAAGAAAGTTTCTACCTACCCGTCAATTGCTTCTGTGCTCACCAAAGGCAGGGTGATGCTGGGTCCCTGAGAGTCCCCAGCCACAGCTTGGTACCCCAGGATTCTCTAATCTGAGGGAGAAAGAGCTAGACACAGACACCCCCAACCTCATGGGATCAGAACCAGAGAGAGGGAGGGATAGGGGCTGAGAGGGACTCCAGAGGGGGAAAGTGTCCTAGAAGAGGGAGCATAGAGGCTGGGCTTTGACATATAGATTTGAGTTCTCCAGGCAGGGAAGGGCATTCCAGAAATGGGAACAGCATAAGGAAAGACACAGAGGGGGACAGTGACTTAGAAGAGCTGTAACATGGGGAAAGGCAGAGGCAAGAGAAATTGGCAGCTACACGCTGAGGGCTTTGAACTCTGAGCTTGGGAGCTTGTGCTGAGAATGACGGGGAGCCATGGGAAGTGTTTGAGCAGTGAAGGGCCCAGTCAGAGCTGGGGGGCCTATTTCTGGGTTCCAGATGGGAAGTGATAAAGCCTGGGCCCAGGCGGGGACAGTGGGAACCAGGAGAACATCTGTGAGGTAGGATCTACAGGATTCGTGTCAAGGCCATCTGCCTGGGGTGGGGAAGAGCAGGAGGAGCAGCTGGATCCAGGTCAGAGGGATGGGGTGCAGGGCCCAGCAGACGGAGTGAAGACGGTTCTGGTCAGGCAGCTGGGGAGAGGCTCACAGACAGACAGCTGGACAAGGACAGACAGGACATGTGGGGACAGGGATATTTAGACACAGACAGATGAATTGGAGAGGGGAGACAGGTAGGTCAACAGAGCCAGCGAGAAAGGGATGGGGACACTCAGGGCTCCCCAGGGTGGGATGTCGGTGATGCTGGGACTTGTTCTCTTCTGGCGCCTGACATCCGTCCTCTCTGTGTGGCCACTAGGCACAGTTCTCGCACATGGGTGCCTCCATGCACCTGCGCACGCCCTTCACCTACCGTGTGCCCGATGACACCTGGGCCTGCTTCTTCGTGTGCAACCTGCTGTATGCACTGGGCCCCCACCTGCTGGCCTATCGCTGCCTGCGGTGGCCCGCCTTCTTCCTGCGCCCGCCCCCTGGCGCCCCGGCCCACCACAAGAAGCAGCACTGAGCAGGCCGTGGGACTCCCCAGAACTCGGTTTACATGCCTGGCAGGCCCTGCCCTAGGAAGGGTGGGTTGGGTTTTTTAGAGGAAGCAGGTACATCTCTGGGGTGTCTTCGGTCCTGGCTATGGTGGTTTCAGGCCAGGGGGTGGGATGGGAGACCCAAGCACAGAAGGCCACAGCCATGCTCAACTGTCAGGATGCCCCAACCCCACATGGACTCTTCTAATCCCTCCTAGAATTTACCCATCATCCTCCCATGGATCCTTTTAGTAAAAACCCTTTTGATGCCCAAAATGTTGCTGCCTGAGTGTTTCAGGATGCAGGGGCAAGGGACCTGCTTCTCAGACCCCACAAGGGCCTACCCATCACTGCCAGTATGCCCGTCAGGAGCTGGAGGTGCTGGACAGCAGAAGTCTGCCTCTGGTTCCTGTGCATGGCTCCATCTCCCAGACCAGGAAAACCGAGGCTCAGAGAGGACCAGACACCCGCCTGAGGTCACAATCAGGAGAGAAGAGTTCGAAGTCCAAGCTCTGCCAATAAATTATAATAACAAATAGTGTGGCACAGTTATTAAGCACCTACTGCATACATGCCAGGGGCTAACCTCAAGTGCTACATATTCCAGATGGGGAAACTGAGCCTGCAGGAGGTGAAGGTCCTGGCTGAGCTAGGGACCAAGTCTTGGCCCAGCCCATTCAACCACAGAGCCGATAACCCTGCCTCTGCTGTCTGGTTGGCTCATATTTTGGGGAAACTGAGGTGTGGGGGGGGCAGCCAGGGGGTTGGGGGAAGGGCTCATTGTTTCCTGATTCAATTTTTGAACTTGTGTGAAGGGCCAGGTTCAGGGGTGACTGGGCCCCAGAGTGGGTCAAGGGCTTGATCAGACTCTTCTGCTCCCCGCCTCTACCAACACTTATTAGGCACCAGTCTGGCCAATGGATCTTCACCAAAGAACCAGCAGTCCATATCCCAGAAGTGGAAACTGATGCTCAGAGAGACCAAGCGTCTCTTCCAAGGGCCCACAGTGAGTGAGGGGCAGAGTAGGATTTGGCCCTGTTGCTGCATATCCCCTCTGCAGAGTGTGTGATTGTTGTGGGGCCCCCATCCTGGAGAGTGAGCACCTTTTGCCAGAGCCCAAGACACCGTCATATCAGCCAGTGACAAACGGGAAAACTGAGACATGCCAGCGGAGCCCCTCCCCCAGTTTATTCAGCCCCCTGCCCACGCAGGACAACCAAGTTGGAAGACTCCATCAGGCCCCCCTCCTCCATTTTAAAGATGGTTAAACTGAGGCCCAGAGAGGTGCTTCGGCGGGCCCAAGGCCAGCCAGTAAGGGCAGGGACCTAGTTCTGCACTCACTGTTGAGCGTGGTCCTTTCTCCGCCCGCCCCCGGGTTTCCTATCCGTGTAGCGCGCGCCGCTGCGTTCCCTTTAACGCCCCTCCTTCCGCCTCCCTCCTCCCCTTGCAGGCAGACGCCGGGATTGCGCCGCCTGCCGGAACCTGCCCAGTCCTTCCCGGGTGTGCGGGGAGCGCAGTCCCGGCGCGTAGGGGCCGCTCGGCGGGGGCCGCACGGGCAAGATGGTGAGTGGGGCGGCGGGCGCGGGTCCCGGTAGGTCCGTCTCTGGGGCTCTGTCTCTCCGTGTCTCTGAATCCACGTCCCTCGGTGTCTCCCTCCTCAGTCTCTCTCCCCGGCTCAGTCTCTCCCATCCCTTCTCTCTCACCCTCTTATAGCTCTCTTTCTCGAACTCTCTGCCTCTCCTTCTCTATCCCTCTCCGTCTCCCCCTACTTTTTTTTTTTTTCCTGGTCCCTTTTCTCTCTCTTTCTCGGAGTCTGTCTCTTCCTACCTCCATGTCTCTCTCTTCTCTGTCTCTTTTCCTCTTGGTCTCTCCCTTTCAGTCTCTGGCTTTCCTTGTGCATCTCTGTCTCTTCATCTTTCCTTATCCTTCTCTGTGTCTCCCTTTGCATCTCTGTCTCTCTCCATCTTTCCTTCCTCTTCTTTCCCTCTGGTTCTCTCTCTTCTGTCTCTCCCTCTCTGTCTCCATCTCTCCCTGCCTTTCTCTCTCTCTCTTTCCCTGTTCTCGCTCTCTATCTCTACCACCCACTCGCGCCCCCCACCCCCACCCCGGCCCGGTTTGCTGCAGTCTCTTGGCGCACGGATAACCTTGCCGCTGCTCTACTCCAGCTCCTTCCCCTCCCCCCCAGTCCTGGGCTTGGGCCGGAGAGAGAAGGGGGCGGGACTCCGAGCCTCCAGTGTTGGGGTTAGGGGGTCAGGCGGGTTGCCCGCACAAGACTAAGGGAGGGTGAGCCCAGAGGTGTGGGCTTTGCGCAGAAAGGAGGGTGAGAGATCCTGGGAGGGTTGCGGGGATAGGGGGGGTCTGCCAGCCTTCTCCTTGGGGGAGTCCTCTGGGACTCTGGCCCGGGTGGGGGCCTCTGCATGTGAGATGTCCTCGCCGCGGTGAAGGAAGGCCAGGGGGCTAGTCCTCCGAAAGGAAAAGGCCAGGAGGCTGGACTGAGCGCCCGGTGCTCCCAGGTGTGTGCTCGGGCGGCCCTCGGTCCCGGCGCGCTCTGGGCCGCGGCCTGGGGAGTCCTGCTGCTCACGGCCACCGCGGGGGCGCAGCGCGGCCGGAAGAAGGTCGTGCACGTGCTCGGTGAGTCAGGGCCGCGGAAGCGGGTCTTGCCCCGCAGAAGCCGTGGCCAAGTGGGATCGCCTGGGTGCACGGAGCGGGGAGGGCGCGCTGGGCGTTCCTGATGGCCACAGTCCCGCCCAGTTCCTCCCCGTCTGAGTCCCCGCCCCCCCAGTCCCCTCCCTGAACCCCTTTACCCTGCTGATCTCCTGACCCTCACCCGAGTCGTCTTCATACATCCCTTCCCCAGGGTCCCCCTCCCCAGGGTGCCCCGCCCCTAGGACCTCTTCTGAACCCTGTTTGGTCGCCCGCAGAGGGCGAGTCAGGCTCGGTGGTGGTGCAGACGGCGCCAGGGCAGGTGGTCAGCCACCGAGGCGGAACTATCGTCTTGCCCTGCCGTTACCACTACGAGGCAGCTGCCCAGGGTCACGACGGCGTCCGCCTCAAGTGGACCAAGGTGGTGGACCCGCTGGCCTTTGCTGATGTCTTCGTGGCACTGGGCCCCCAACACCGGGCGTTTGGCAGCTACCGCGGGCGGGCCGAGCTGCAGGGGGATGGGCCCGGGGACGCCTCTCTGGTTCTCCGAAACGTCACACTGCAGGATTACGGGCGCTATGAGTGTGAGGTCACCAATGAGTTGGAGGATGACACTGGCATGGTCAAGCTGGACCTGGAAGGTAACCAGCTCGTGAGCAAGATGAAGCGTGATTCTAAGAGAGGAGAGGGGGGAGTATAGCAAGGGACAGAAACCAAATCAAGTTGGCCTGAAGGCATTTAGGGGATTGGGGGGGTAGGGTAATGGTTCTGATTTGGGGTGATTTTGCTCCCCAGGGACACTGGCAATGTCGAGAAGAGAGTTGCTGGTGGCTTCTAGTGGGTAGAGGCCAGGGATGCTGCAAAACATCCTACCATGCACAGGACAGTCCCCCACAGCAAAGAATGATCCAGTCCAAAATGTCAGTAGTAAGGACGTTGGGAAACCCTGGTGTAGGTAGGATCCAGGCACTCACAGTAGGTCAGGAATCCCTCCCTCAGCTCTGCTTCCGTGGGTGGGCTTTCCTCTGGCAGCTTTCCCCTGATGGAACCAAAAAGTAGTGCCAGGCTTCCACCCTCACAGCTTAGCAACTGATTTCCTAGGAGTGCTAGCTAGAGTCCCAGAGTTGTCCCTCAGAGGCCCAGCTTGAGTCCTGTGCCCATCCGTGAGCCAATCACTGTGGCTGGGAGATAGGATGCCCTGATTGGCTGACCATGGAGCTGGGAGGTGGGGTTTCTATCTGAAGAATTCTCTCTCACCTGGTTTGTTTCCTCAGTTCACCTTAGAAGATGCTAGGAGAGGTTTCAGAGCCCTCACTTGCTGAACTTCCCAACAATAGCAAATAACAACACTAGCAGCAGCAGCTCTCCATTATTGGGCATCTTCTATGTGCCAGGCACTTGAAGAGCTCTCTGGAGTTTCTCATTTAATTTTCCCAAAACCCTGAGGGAGACACTATTACCAGCAGATAGGCAACTGCCTCAGAGAGGTGAGAGCCTTGCCCAGGGCACATGCCAGTGAGTGGCAGACCCAGGACTCAAACTCTTGTCTGTCAGGCTCCAGGTCTTCTCTCTGGCCCCTGTTCCGCTCCTTCCTGCCTCTGCTGAGAGTACCCAACTCACCCCCAAGGTCCGCCCCTCAAACACAGACACACAGAATGCTTGTGAGCCAAATTGACTGGGAGTCCGATGAGGGACGAGTTGTAAGAACTGAAGGTGGAAGGGAAACCGATTGCTCTGGACAATGCTGAGGATCAAAGGGATCCTTGCCCAAGGTCAACCATTCAGGGGCTCCCAGTGTTGGGACGTCAGCACTGGACATAGACATTCCCAGCTCCATGGACTGAGGGCTTAACCAGAGGGAAGGTCATAGTGCTGGGAGAATCTCAGAAGCACATAGGACTGAATGGAGGAGGGTTGTGGGAGCTGGGTTTTGAAGAATGAATAGGAATTCAATAGGTGGAAAGAACATGAGCAAAGGTCTCCAGCAGTGAAAAGGGGTGGACATGATGAAGTATGTTAAAGAGTAGGGTCAAGTGAATCCCAAGCTTAAGACAAAGGGGGCCATGAGGGGTGTGAGCTGAGGAAAGGCATGGTCAGGTCTGAGGCCATGCCTCAGAGAGAGAGGAGGACTGGAAAGTCTAGGTTGAAGAGTCGCACAGCACCCCAGATGTCAGGTGAGGGGGGCAGCTGGGGGGCCTGATCTGACTCGCATGTATCCTCCCAGGTGTGGTCTTCCCTTACCACCCCCGTGGAGGCCGCTACAAGCTGACCTTCATGGAGGCGCAGCGCGCATGCGCTGAGCAGGACGGCATCCTGGCGTCGGCCGAGCAGCTGCACGCGGCCTGGCGCGACGGCCTTGACTGGTGTAACGCGGGCTGGCTGCGCGACGGCTCCGTGCAGTACCCGGTGAGCCAGCCCCGGGAGCCCTGCGGCGGCCTGGGCGGGGCCGGGAGCACCGGGGTCGGCAGTGGTGCCTCCGGGGGCGTGCGCAACTACGGCTACCGCCATAATGCTGAGGAACGCTACGACGCCTTCTGCTTCACATCCAACCTCCCGGGTGCGTAGGCCCCGCCCCTGGGGGGAAGGCCACGCCCCCTGCAAGCCCGGGCCCCGCCCCGGCCATGAGGCCCTGCCCCCAGACTGGCCTCTCCTGGGTCCCACTACTTCTCAGTCTCTCTTTCCCACCCTCCACCCCTCAGGTCCCTCTCCTCCGCCCTTCCTCCTCACACCGGCCCTCGGGGGTCCGGAGCAGGAGATCCCTCCCACAGGACAGCCACGGCGTGGCAATCAAGCATTGCCTGGCACCAACACTGCCCTAGCTGAGGCTGGGGTCCCAGGCTGCAGGGGAGCGGGTTTTCCTGAATCCTGAGGCTGGGGTCCTGGGCTGCAGGCGGTGGAGGGTGTCCTGAATCCCGAGGCCGCGTCCCGGGAGCAGCCCTAACCATCCTCCCACTCCCTCGCAGGGCGCGTGTTCTTCCTGAAGCCGCTGCGGCCAGTGCCCTTCTCAGGAGCAGCGCGCGCGTGCGCGGCGCGCGGCGCGGTCGTGGCCAAGGTGGGGCAGCTGTTCGCCGCGTGGAAGCTGCAGCTGCTGGACCGCTGCACCGCGGGCTGGCTGGCCGACGGGAGCGCGCGCTACCCCATCGTGAATCCGCGCGCGCGCTGCGGCGGCCGCCGGGCCGGCGTGCGCAGCCTCGGCTTCCCGGACGCCACGCGCCGCCTCTTCGGCGTCTACTGCTACCGGGCGCCTGGCGCGCCGGACCCCGCACCCGGGGGCTGGGGCTGGGGCTGGGCCGGAGGCGGTGGCTGGGCCGGAGGCGCGCGCGACCCCGACGCCTGGACCCCGCTGCGCGTCTAGACCCGGGCGCGGATGGCTGAGGTGCGGACAGCTGGGGCCCTCGGCAGCTGGCTGAGTGCTTTGCGGTCCCTTGGAGGCGGACCACGCCCCTGAAGACTGGCCACGCGCCCTGCGGTGCCTCCTGCGGGCCTTGAACACTGGCCACACCCCCTGAGATCCCCAGAGCCTGGTCAGTCCCTGGAGACATGTCCCTTGGAATCCCCCCGGAGACTGACCAGGCCGCACCTCTCCTAAACGGTGGATTTCTCCTCCTCCCCTGACACACCCCCTGAAGACCCCTGGAGGCCAATAGACCCTGAGGTCCCCTGAAGACTGGCCACGCCTCCCAAGGTCACCTGGAAACAGACGGAACCACTCCCGAGGTCTCCTGGAGGCTGGACCCCCGGGATTATCTGGAGACTGGCCACAAGTCCTTTGCATCTCCCTGGAGACTGAAGACTGTTCCCTTAACGGTCACCTGGACACTGAACCCTCCTCCCCATCACTTGTAGAGAAACCAGAAACCTCAGAGTTCGCCAGATGACCATGCTACTGTGGTCCCATGGAGATTGGGCTCCTGTTCTCTTCCCTACGGTGACCTGTAGATTGGGTACTCCCATTCTTCCCCACTCCCCATGAGTCCCCCAAAGTTTCCTGAGTAACAGGCCACGGTCCCTAGGTCACCGTGGAGAACAACAGCCCCACCCATCTAGTTTAAGGGGACCACCGTTGTCTGTCACCTGAAGACAAACTGACACGCCCCCCAGCTGGCCCGCATGCCTGGCGGCCATGCCCCACTCCCTGGGTATTTCTCTGAAGGGAGCAAATCCGCCCGCACCTGACGGCCCCTTTCTTGGCTGTCACCAAAGAAACCACCACCCCATCCCACTCCCTACCTCCACCCCAAACCCCACCCCACCCTCCTGCCCAGGGACCCATAAGATCTATGTCACTCGCTATGGAGACAAGCCACCCCATTTGCCATTGTTTCCAAGACGACCAGCCCAGCTTCTACCTGTCACCTAGAGTCACACAGTCCTCCCCTCATCAGTCACACTCATGGAGATGGTGCCTCCCTCCTCTAGCTGTAACCATGGATACCACACATTTTACATCTCACCAGCCCCCACCCCAGAGACCTACAACTTCACTTCCGGCTGTCTCCTTCCTGACCAACAGCCGTGGAGATCACCCTCTCTCCAACTGGCCAGAGAGTGACCCAACGTTTGGTTCTCCAGCTTTCACCGTGGAAACAGGCTGCCCCTTTCCCCAGGCCCACCCCAGCTCCTTACCACTCTGCAAGCTCCACACCCAGTTGGCTTGGACCCCATAGCTGTTGCCGTGGAGACCAAACTCTGATGTCTGAGGTAACAGAACACCTGTCCCCCTAGGATTTCTCTGGTCGGCAGGGCCCTGCCCCACCGAGTTGTAACTATAGAGACACTCAACACTGTCCACATGACAACCGACTTCCCAGCTCTCAGGAACTTCTCACCATGGGCTGGAACTGCGCCCCCTGTGTGCCCTGGCCCTTTGAGCTGGGCAAGCACTGGGCTCCCCTTTTCCTCTCTCAGACCACGTTCCCATTCTCAACAAGCTCCTCTCTCCTTCCCTAACACCACCCCCCCCACACACACACAGGCACACACATATTCCTCCTTAGAGATCCAGGAAAGGGAGTGTCCTTAAACCTCAAAATCCACCCTGAGCTCCAGGTTCTAAGGGGCAATTCGTGCTAAGTCAGGACCCAGCCAAACTCCCCATTGTTGAGAGCCAGCTGGAGGAAACAGTCCATGAACAGGGCCACTGCAGCCGGGGGAGACTGCAGTTCTGAGGTTTCGCCTGGAGTAACACTGGGGTCCCTCCTAGAGCCCTCCTTATTGTCACATCCATCTCAAGGAAACCCATCTGTGAGTTTTGGAACCAGGTGTGCTTGGGTTCGAATCCTGCTTCTGTAACCAAGTGACAAAATCCCTGAGCTGTTTCCCCCTCTGCACTAGGGCTGTTGTGAGGTCCCAGGGACTGCAAGCATAGAGCAGGGGCTCAATCTTTGTGGGGTTTTTTTGATGAATGAGTAAATGAGGCAGCCAGTGGGTAATTACTTCATAAATGCACTTTGGTGAACAAAATGGTTCCCAGGTGGGGATGCTTGGTGATGATGCGGTTGGGAAGCATCTCCCCTCATTCCTCAGGACCACGCCCCCTCCCCAATCTCTCTCCTCTCCCTTCCCCCATCTTGCCCTCATTCTCTCCCTTGAGCCATGCCCACCCACCCTCCCATGGGTCTCAGCTTGTCCTTCTCAGCCATGTCCTGATTGGGTAACTCACAAATCCAGTGGTTCCTCTCAATTCCCCAGGCGCAAAGTGTGTGAAACTGGAAGGTGAGTCCCGTGCCAGGAAGGCAGAGAGGTTGCAAATTTTCTCTGGTGTGGAGGTGGGGGTGGGGGTGGGAGGAGTGTGGGCTGAGGAGCATTGAAAGTTTCTGGGATAAAAACAAAGGGAGTTGAGAAAAATGTGTAAAAGTCTGATTAGGATGTAGAAGTGGAATGGTTGATTTCACTGCTGGTCCTTCAATATCAGACGTGACAGGGCTCTCAGACTCAAACCACTCATCTGAAGCCAGGGCTCCAGCTGGGCCTTAGCTTCCTCGAACAGAGGAATGGTAAGGGACATGTTTCCAGAGATGAATGCATAGAATTTCTTTCATCCCACCTTTTCCCTGCTGGCATTCTTTCTCCCAGGGGTTCCAGCTACCTGGCTTTCTCTTGAGTATGTAACTTTATCTTCTCCTTCCATGAGAGTCAGCAGGGGCTGACTCCACCCCTTTCCAGCTCAGCCAACGGGTCCTGTGGCTCATCTCCCTGGGCAACTCTGATTGGTCCAGGAGTGGACATGGACCCATGCAGACCAATGAGACTCAGTCCCTGGGATTTTGGTGGACCGACTGGGCAGAGGGAATCTTCCTTCAGCTGGGGTCGCTGTGCTGTTGGATTGGAGGTCTTCAGGGCTCATCCGTTCCATGGCAACCTGGATAGAACCCTCCCTGAAGCCAGATATTCAGGAAAATGTCTATCACTCCTGTCCTCCACCACCCAGTTCACTTCCCAGAGACATCCAAAGTTTCTTACATGTCTTTCAGGAGATGTTTTATGTTCATTCAAGGAAATATGCATATATATTTCTTTTCCCCATTTTTACACAAATGATAGTGTGCAACGTATACTTTCTTATATCGTAAAATTCACACATAAAACTCACCATCATAAACATTTTAAAGTGTTCAATTCAGTGGCATTTAGTACATTCACAGTGTGGTGCAACCATCACCTCTGTCTAGTTCTGAGACATTTTCATCACCCCAAAAGAAAACCCAGTACTCATTAAGCAGTTACTCCCCATTCCTCCCTCCTCACTCCCCTGCCCTGGCAACTGCTAATCTACTTTCTCCTCTATGGGTTTGCCTGTTCTCGATATTTCGTATGAATAGAATCATACGATATGTGTCCTTCTGCGTCTGGCTTCTTTCACTTGATTTAATGTTTTTGAGGTTCATCTATGTTGTGGCGTGTATCAGAACTTCATTCCTTTTTATGGCTGAATAATATTTCATGGTATGTATGTATCACATTTTGTTTATCCACTCCTCAGTTGATGGACATTTGGATTGTTTCCACCATTTGGCTATTGTGAATAACACTGCTGTGAACATTCATGTGCCGTATTTACTTTTAAAGTAACTCTTCTTCTAGTTAATATCTTTGAGATAGTTTCCATCAGTGTATAAAGATCACACACACACACACACGTGTTCTTTTGAAGTTTGGCAGAGTATTCCTTATTTGGATGCACCATAATTTTTGTAGCTAATCTCCTAATGGTGGACATTTAGATCATTTCTCATATTTTGCTGTGAGTAATAAGTACCCACGTCATCTCACACAAGTGCAAGTATAACTGGAGGATGATATCAGGAGTTGTTTGATCAAGGAGTCAAAACTTGCCATTTTGATAGTGATCTCTACCTCTTCTTAAAGGTGGAGCCAATTTATACCCCATCAGTAATAGATGTACTCACCTGTTTCCACACAACCTCACCAGCATTGTGTGTTATCACTTTTTGCCTTAGCCCACCTGATAGGTGAAAAATGATATCTCACTGTGGTTGTCACTTGCCATTCTCTTATTATGTGTGAAGCTGAACATACTCCACTTTGACCCTAGGTGCATAAAGCGTTCTCAGTTCAGGTACATTGTCATCGTTGATCTATGCAAGGCGCCTCTCTTATTAGATTTATTTGTTTATTCCCTTTTATTTGTATGCCCTTGTTTCTGTATCTTGGTGCTCTTGCAAAGTATTACTTTGTTGAGCATATGTTGTAGTTTAGCCATCTGTATTTCCTTTTCTGTGAACTTTTTGTTCAGATCCTTTGCCCATTTGGCTACTGGATTATTAGTCTTTTTCCTATTGATTAGTAGGGCTCTTTATATATTAAGGCAACAAGTCCTTTCTCTCTGATATGAAAAATTGTTTCCAGACTTGGGATGTGCCTTTTGACCTTGTTTGTGGTTTGTTGCTACTATTGCTTTTAGTATAAAGCCCAAACTCCTCACTATAGCCCATATGGCCCTCAGTGGTCCATCCTCTGCCTCTCTGATCTCATCTCCCTCTGCTCTCTACCTCTATCACTCCACTCCAGCCACTATGGACTTCTTGCTGTTTCTCAAATGAGCCATGTTCCCTTCTGCAAGAGGATTTTTGCCTCTGCTCTTCCCTCTGCCTGAAACTCTCTTCCTTTCTTCCCCTCCTTGTCTATTAATGCTACTCCTCCTTTAGATTCAATTCACCTCCTCTAGGGAGCCTTCCCTGACCATCTCCCAGGGGCCATGTCTGTATGGTTCACAACTATCTCCCTTGCATCCAGAACAGTACATGGCTCATAATAGCTGCTCAGTGAATACCCGCTGAGTGAATGAAAGAAGGAAGGTGTCAGGAGGTGACAGGCAAAGTGAACTGTTAAAAAATTTTATTAAAATGTCCAAGAAGTACATTAATATCCACAGTGTCAGATACCACAGACCCACGGAACACTGCAGCTCACCGCAAAACCAGCAGGCCCTGAACCTGTTCACGTGCACACACACACGCATGCCACGCACGTGGCACACGCAGACACACACGCACATCCCAAAGGGAAAGACCAAAAGACAAACCACCCACTTTAGAAAAGACCGGAGCCCCCTCCCACCATGGAGCTGGGTCAGGGACAGGGCAAGAGGCTGAGGGGGCCAAGGGCAGGGAGCATGAACCAAGAACCCCCAAAAAAGTTGTATCCCCAGCACCCTCCCCAAACAAAAAAAATTCTTTGTGACATGGATGACTGAAGATGTGTTAGTATTACTAAACTTCTTAAACCAAGAATTTTCAAAGCAAGAAGGCAAACCTATATCCCCGGCTTTCTCAACAATAACCACAAGGTGGAACAGTGGATGATGTCTATAGCAGAGAAGACTGAAAACCAAGGTCAAGGATGAGAGTCTAGTTTGCACTTCTCAATCTTTTCCTAAATCTGCCTGTGTGCGAGAGAGCGCGTGCAATTGTGTTTCAGTCCCTCCCCCAAAGTAGAGAGCAGTGTTTGGAGTCAGACAGAAACAGGACCAAATCCTTACTCCTGTCATGGCTGTGACTTCGAGCGACTGCCATTCCCTTATCTGAGCCTCAGTTTTATCATGTGTAAAATGGGAAAATAATGGTTCTTAAGTTGCTGGGCTGTTGAGAAGATTCAAGGAGATAGTGTGTAAGTCCCTAGCATGGTACCTACTCCATAGTTGTCAACCATGATTCTTACTTCCCAGGAGGGATATAGGCACAGTCAACACATTTCTTTTTCTACTGAACCCTTAGATGGACCATATATTGGCCTATTTTTGTTTCCTGCAGAGGGCCATTCTCCACTGTGGTTTTTAACACTAATCCACAGATTTTACCCAGACTAGAGGAGTTGAGAGTGGACAAAACATAGAGGAAAAACTGGATCTTTCCTGCCAGAGATCAGGGAGCTGGATCCTGACCTTCAGCTTGGAAAGTCATTTTACAGGTTGCCAATTGAAGAGAGGAAGGCCAGGGGAGTTCTTTCCCACTTAAAAAATTTAAAAACCATGAGAGAAAAATATGTGTATGTGTTTCGGTTTTAACACTGTGCATCTCTCTACAACATGACCTCAGGTAGATGTCACTACTTCAAGTTTTAAGTGTTTCTAGTCCTCCAGGCAATGGATGGAGACAGGGATGGGGGGGCAGGGGCGGGGCCCAGGGCAGGGGCACTACCAATGTCTGCTTGAGGGATGGGGACGTACGGGCACTGAGCTAGAAAACTTGGCACCTCCTTGGTCCAGGAATGAGGTTCTTTGTCTCCCTGAGAGATGGAGTGGGAAGAAATCTGGGCTCGTAGAGCCCTAAACATCCTCTCCTCTGTGTGTGTGTGTGAGATTCACCACACACGCAGAACCACCAAATCTCAGCACTGGACTAGACCTAGGAGGGCAAGCAATACACCTTCCCTCCATTGCCCACATATTGCTCTGACAATTCTGACCCCTAACTCTGAGGGCACAGAGGGAGGTTGTTCTAAAAACATTCCTAAAATTCAGCACATAAGAGTTCCACACTCTGTTTATCCACCAAGACCAAAGACCGAACTTGGGCTGAAGCCCAAGGTGAAGGACGAGCAGGTGTCACGTTCCAGCAGTGTGCTTCCATGTAGATTTCTACTCCCAGAGCCTATGACCTTAACCAAAGGCTTCAGGCTGCACTTAGGACATCTGACAATTTACTAAGCCTGAATCTCTGGTGTGAAAAGCAATTCATTAGTGTGAATCCAAACATACACTCTTGCACTCTCATCAAACCCTTATTTGAACAAGTGTGGCGATCCGCCTTGTCAACAAAAGACTAAACCAGTGCAAAGAATGATCTTTGCCTATTGTGCTTCCCTCCAGTGGGAGATGCTCCCACAGTTCAGCCTGACTGGAACTGGATTTTCAGACACGTGGCTACGCCTGCCAAGAGGACCTGTATATGTAAGAAAGAGGAGAGAGGAGCTTTTTACAAAGGATTATGTGTAGGGGGATGTGGTTTGGGGCTCAGGGGCTTCCAGACCCTCTTGTTTCTCTCTGGGCTCTGTCTCCCCAGGTGAAAGCTCCAGAGGAGGTGTGGGAAGGGGGTTGTGCTTTCTTGCGCCTGGTTCTTCAGCAGAAATTTCCTTCTTCCTTCTCCCAGTCCTCCACTGGGTATTTCTTGTGTTTTCTGCGCTCCTTGCGTGATTTGTGGTGGCGATGCTGGTGGTGGTGTTGGTGGTGGTGATGGTGTCGCCGCATTCGATGGGACCGTCTGGCTGCAGGAAGTGAGGGAGGACAGGGAAGTGGCAAGAGGTCGTGAGAGGTGGGAGGCCTGATGCAACGGGCCTCCTGGGGCAGGGGGGAAATGGAGGAAACACCGGGCAGGCTGGTAGATTCTCACTTATCTGCAAGGCTGTATTATCAGGCATTCAGCTAGATCCGTATGTATAGTAATGAGATGTTTTAACTGGAGACTAAAAATAGATGGAAACCTGTGTTGGGATGTCTGCGGGCAGCCACTTACGTTTGGTGCAGACAATTTGGGGCCGGTCCCACTTGCCATTGCTCCGGCACCGGATGATGGCCACATGGTGCTGGGCAAACCCTTCATTGCACTGGTAGCGTACAGTGGCATGGACATTATATTTGGCCTTGCGGGCACCAATGGGCGAGGCGTTCTCCACTGCTGGAGGGGGACCACACAGCACTGGGGACAGAGGAACCACCAGTTAGGGAAGTGGCCAGGTCTGGGGCTAAACTGGTTTCCTGTCTTATTGGGAATAATACACCCTTCAGCAGGTCCTGCCCTTTGGCCAGCTGTGACCTCACAGGGCAAGAAGTGATTGTGTCTATCTCCTCCACCCAAACCAGGAGCCCTTTAAAGGCAGGAAACTCCTGGACACATCCCACTCCCTAATTCTTATGCATGATGGGAATGAAGGAGAAAGGAGGCAAGTATAATCTGAGCAAATGAAAGGAAGAAAGGACACGAAAATTGGCAAAGAAACAGAAGCAAGAATGAACAAAAGTGTAAGAGAAAGGTAGACATGAGCATGCATATAAATGTTTCCTTAACATGTAAAGAGCTCTTACAAATCAATAAGACCAACAAATGGATAGAAAATTGGCAAAGGAGATGAACTGGCAGGTCTCAGGAAAACAAATACATACAAAGAGCTTATCAATATATGAACAGTTGGTTATTCTCATCCTTAAAGACCTGCCAACTACGGTAACAATGAGATACTATTTTTTCACAACTTAGATGAACAAAGGAAAAAAAGCTTGAGAACACATAGAACTGGCAAGGTAGGGGAAAATGGGCACTCTCACACAGAGCTGGAGAGTGAAAATTGGGCAGGGCTGACTCTTACATTTACAAACTTAAATAAACGATGAACCAGTGAGTGTGAGAGGCAGGACGGAAGTGGGGAGGGTGGCAGCGTACCTGTGCCCTTCTTACACACATAGGGGAGGTTATAGTTGCAGGGAACGTCGTTCCAGCGCCCGCTCTCATGTGCCACCATCACCACACAGTCCTCCCCACCCGCGAAGAAATTGTCAGGCTGCTTCTCTCGCCAGTTCTCATATTGCTGCATGAATGGGGAGCAGGGGGTGCTCAGGGGACCTGTGTCCTGGCCCAGGTTCTGTCACTGCCCACTGCAGGACTCCCCTGGCCAGACCACTCAAGCTTTTAGGGACTTGGTGTTCCTATTTCTACAATGGACACCATTCTGCTGACCCTGAGAGTGGCCGCCACTGCAGTCCATGTCACCCCTCCTCTGGCTGCAAGACCACAGTGCCCTTGTCTGTGGTGCTCCTGCCTCCTGTCTCACTCCCTGACAGTCTCTTTTCTACATGGTTCACTCACTGTTAGATAAATAGTTGAACCAAAGGTGACCTTAGCCTAGAAGTCCAGGAGGGCTTCCCTGAGGAGGCAACAGGAGCTCTGAAGACTCAAGGTTAGGAATGATGCAAGCAGGGAACAGAGTTCCAAGCAGAAGGAACAGCTAGTGCAAAGGCTCAGAGTCAGGACTGAGCTTGTCCTATTTGAGGAATGGAATGGAGGCCAGTGGGGCTGGAGCTACTTGATCAAATTGGGGTGTGGTCAGAGAGTGGGCAGGGGCCAGTTCTGGTGGTAGAAGAGATGAGGTGGATTTTTTTTATATTGTGATAAAATATATATAGCATAAAGTTTACCACTTTAACCCTTTTCAAGTATCTAGTTCATTCGCATTACTTAGATTCACAGTGTTGTGCAACGCTCACTACTGTCTATTCCCAGCATTTTTTTACCAGCCAAACAGAAACCCCGTGCCCAGGAGCAGTCACTCCCATTCTGTCCTGCCCCCAGCCCCTGGCACCCATTGATCTACGTTCTGTCTCTACGGATTTGCCTGTTCTAGATATTTCATATAGGTGGAGTCAGACAAGACGTGGCCTTTTATGTCTGGCTTCTTTCACTCAGCATGATGTTTTGAAGGTTCATTCACATTGTAGCGTGTGTCAGAGCTTCATTCTTTTTTACGACTGAGTAGTATTCACTGTATGGATGGATCACATTCTGTTCATCCATTCATTGTTGATGGACATTTGCATTGTTTCCACTTTCTGGCGATTGTGAAAAGTGCTGCTGTGGACATGGGTGTACAGGTATGTTTGAGTGCCTGCTGTCACTTCTTTTGGGCATCTATCTAGGAGTGGAATTGCTGGGTCATGTGGCAATTCTAGGTTTAACTTTTTGAGGAACCACCAGACTGTTTTCCACAGCAGGAGGAGGTAGATTCCTGAGAACAATGGAGATCCTGAGAGGGCTTGAAGCAGGGAGAATCCTGATCTGGTGTATGATTTTTAAAAGGTCCCCACGTACAGGGTTTCCTTTTGGGGTGATGAAGATGTTCCAGAACTAGATGGAGGTGGTGTTTGCACAACATTGTGAATGTATTTAATGCCACTGACTTATACACTTTAAAATGATTAATTTTATGTTATGTGAATTTTACCTCAATTTTAAAAAACGTCTCCATGGCCACCAGGTGGAGAGGCAGGAGTGTAGGTAGCAAGTGTGTGTTTAAGGGGTTGGTGAGCTGCTGCAGGGGTCCCAGTGAGCGATAAGGGAGGTGAGTGATGTAGGGAAATGGGAATATCTGCGAGGTCAACGCTGGAGGACCAGGCTGAGTGAGCAAGAGGAGGCCTCCAACACCAACGAATGGGTGGACGGGCTGTTTACAGGGCTGGGAAGTCAGGGAGGATTTGGGGCTTCGCTGAAGCTCCCTGGCCAACTTCAGCAACTCAGAGCCATTGAGGACCTTTGCCGGTCGTTTTGCACAACAGGGTAAAGTGAGGCCAGAGGGCGGGGCCGGTGCGGCTCACCCAGATCCCTCAGTTCCAGGCTCCGGGCAGGGCCAATCAGCAGCCTGAACCAGGAACCCAAGTCCCCGGCTCCCGCCACTCACCAGCCCCGTGTTGTCCGTCCATTGGAAATCCCTCTCCACGATCCTGTCGTTCAGGCCGATCCACGTGTTTTCACGCCCGAAGCCTGCGGGGTGCGGGTAGAGAGGGCTGGGCGCCTGCCCCTCCCCCAACCCGGGGTGCGGGCGGGAGGCGGGTGGGGGGAGGGGCAGGGGAGGACCCAGCCCTTCCCCAGCCCTGAGGTGGGCTGGAGGGGAAAGGGGATGGAGGTGGGGGTGAGGGGAGACCCAGAGCCCCTCCCCCAGCCTTGGCGTGCCCTTCTCCAGCAGGCGGGGACTCTGGCGGCCCTCCTACCCGGAGGCTGGGGGTGGGGTGCGGAGAGGGCTGGGATTAGGCGCCCGGCCTTGCCTCGATTTGTGGCTTAAACAAACAGCCCGACAAGAAGTAAACAAAAGGCACTTCCCATCTTTGCAGAAACGAGAGAGTAAGGGCTAGGAGAGCCAGCGGCGGTGCTGGATAGGGCGGGCAGGTGACAGCGGGCGGCCGTCAGTCACCAAAGACGAGGGCCCCGGCGGCTGAGCGTGTGTTTGGTTGCAGGGAGGAAAAAGAAACGAGCGAACCAGGGAATGAACAAATGAAGGAATTAACAGGGTACAGGATGGGGGAAACGTGAAGAAACGGATGGATGAACAAATGGCAGAAGGGATAATGAAAAAGTCAATAAATGCCGGATTTAATTAATTCGGCACTCTTCTCTTTTCCTAGGTCTCTGCACAGCAACTTTCTCATTTCATCCCCCCTGGCCCAGTTGCTTCCCCATCGCCCTCCATCCCCTGGCCCTGTTTTATTTGTCATCCGAACACTTAGGACCAAATTACAGTATAGACTTATTTAATTAGGTATTTACTTGTTTGCTTATATCCCCCACAAAACGTCACACCCTGAGGACAGGACAGTGTGTGTCTTGCTCACTGCTGTGTCCCAGTGCCTGGAGTGGTGCCTGGCACATAGCAGGTGCTCAGTAAATAGTTTGTGAATGAATGAATGAAGTGAATGTATGAATCAACAAGTGATTACAGGGACATGCAAATTAATAGTGGTCAGGGCTTGCATTAATGAACACAGCTTCAGAAAGGTGGTGTCTTCAGGGTCTTGGGGGGATGCCCCTGCAAAGGGACTGCAAGGGCCACCCCTGCCCACCCCAGAATCCTTACTGTTAATGAAGCCGTGTTCCTCAGGTGAGTGGATGCTGGTCAGGTGGCCGGCTCGGCGGCGGCAGTCCCTCTCGGCGTCCTCCCACGCCCGCCGATGGGCAAAGTAGCGGTAGCAGTGGCCCTGGAACTTCTGCCAGCCTGGGTCACAGCCCTCTGTGTCTGGGAGGTGGGAAGGGAGGGTGAGGGGGCTGCCCTGCTGGTCATGATCGCAGCCAGCCCACTAGAGAGAGGGCCTAATCCAAGGTCATTGTGGGGCTAGGTCACCCCTCTTCCTGGGCCTGTCACCCTCCCCCTGAGGCTCTGTCCCCACCATCGTTTCACCTCCCCACTCCCATATTCATTTCTTGTCTTTGTTGCTAGAAGAGATTCAACTGGAAGATCCTTAAATCTATCCCATCTCCTCCCAACTCTGATGTCTTCTGCTCTGATTTGTGGGCCACACCCTTTGTGTGGACCTACGAACTCAGGATATGGTCTCAGAAAGGCCTAAAATTTCCCTCCTAGCAAAGGGCTCAAATAGACATTTCTCCCAAAAAGATATACAAAGGGCCAACAAGGACATGAAAAGATGCTCAGCATCATTAGTCATTAGGAAACACAAATTACAATGGGATACAACCCTCACATCCACTAGGATGGCTATAATAAAAATAAAAAATTAAAAAAAAGGAAAATAAGTGTTGGTGAGAATGTGGACAAACTGGAACCCTGGTACATCACTGGTGGGAATGTAAAATGGTACAGTCACTGTAGAAAACAGTCTGGCAGTTCCTCAAAAAGTTAAACAGCCATTCTACTCCTGGGTATACACCAAAAAGAATGGAGGGAAAAAAACAATGGAAAACAGGTGTTGAAGCAAAAACTTGTACATGAATGTTCATAGCTACACTATTACATTAATCACAAGGGGAAACAACCCAAATATCAATCAAATGATGAATGGATAAACAGAATGTAGTGTACCCATACAATGGAGTATTATTTAGCCATAAAAAGGAATGAAGCACTGATATTGCCACAATGTGGATGAACCTGAAAAATATCACGCTGAGTGAAAGAAGCCAGACACAAAAAGTGTATGATTCCATTTATATGAAATGTCCAGAACAGAAAAACGTCCATAGAGACAAAGTAGACTGCCAGGGGCTGGGGTAGGGGAGAATGAAGAGTGACTGCTAATGGGTACAGGATTTCCTTTTGGGGTGATGAAAATATCTTGGAACTTGCTAGAGGTGGTGGCTGTACAACACTGCAAATGTACTGAATACCATTGAATTGTACACTCTAAAAAGGTTAATTCTATGTTATGTGAATTTTATCTCAAAAAACAATTTGCCTTCTGTTGGACTCGTGGCCACAGGACCAGTGACAGAGACCTGGAGCATGTGTGGGAAGCCTGTAACCAGGCACCCACCCTCACTCCTGGGGGTGTTTCTGGGGTCTTGGCAGAGACTCACCTTTCTCACAGAGGCTGCCCCCGTAGCTGGGGAGGCAAAGGCAGACAAAGGTGTTGACCTCGTCGATGCAGGTGCCTCCGTTCTCACAGGGGCTGGAGACACAGTCGTCGATATCTGGAGAGGAGGAGGAAGGGCCAAGTCAGAGGTCAGCCTCCCCTTGGCTCCCAGTCCTCACAGGCAGAAGATGGGGTCATGATCTTACCATCCATCCTGGATCTGAGTGCAGCAGTGGCGGTCTGCACAGATGGCCCAATGGCTCTGGAGGTCAAGGGGGTGGAACCTCACACAATTAACATTAATTAGCTTTAATGACAGCAGATGCCACTAGGAAGGCTGAGGGCCAGAGTGTGCAGAACGTTCCACCTGACTCCAGAACAGTGAAGGTCATACTCAGGCAAACAGATCACAGAATGTTGAAGCTGGAGGGTCTTTTTGGAATGTGGAACCTCAGGAAACTGGGTTCCAGAGCATTTGCAAAGACTTGCACAGAGTCGTGAAGCTGTCTGTAGGTAGAACTAGATATCAGCTGAGCTCCTCTTCTGCAGTCCCTGTGTGGATAGTGCCTGAGGCATGTGTGTCACCAGGTGAGCCACTGCCCCTCTCTGAGACTCATTTTCAATTTTTGCAAAGTGGTGATAATAATAGCACCTTCTCAAGGGTGGTTGTGAGTGGAGAGTCAACGGAAGAGCTCAAGAAATTATATTGCTTATATTTATTGTTATAATTCTACAATTAGTAGTATGGTTGTGATGGCAATGAGATGATGCACAGAGCTCAAGAAATTGTCACTTATATTTATTGTTATAATTTCATAATTTGCCCTATTTCCTGTGTTGGGCTTTGGGGCTAGCATCCAATGGTTCTGGTAGCGGTGCCTGTACCACTGCCCACCCAGGAGAGGGTGGGATCCCTTGGGGCCCCTGGCTGGGAGGAATCTGAGCTTTATCATTTGTCTTCCCCTCCCTGGTAGTAATAGGAGGCAGGACAACTGAACCTCGGCCCTCAGGATGAGAGCTCAGCTGTTTGGTGCTGGTTTAGCTAACTGGGATTGATTTACTGGATCCAAGGAGTTGGGGGTGGGGGTGGGGAGGGAGCATCTGAAGCCAGCATTTTGTGATCCCTGAGTCTTCATGGGGATGGCCACTGGGATAGAGCCCAAGGCTCTGAGTCAACCAAGTCAGAGTTCAGATCCTGAGTCTGGGGCACTCACCAATCTCGCAGTTCTCCCCGGTGAAGCCCTGGTCACAGCTACACCCGTACATGGTGTCATTGGCTTTACAGGTGCCCCCATGCAGGCAAGGGTTGTTCTCACAGGGATCCGAGGGGGCTGCAGGATGGACAGGCAGTGCGGGGAGGAGTCAGGCCACCATGTTGTCTGCCTTCCCGGAATCTAGACCTCAGACCCCCAAAGACCCTCTCAGTGGAGTCCCCTCTATAACTTCCCAATAGATGGTCATCCACTTCCCCTCACATGCCCCTGTGATGAGGAGCTTAGTCCTTCCAGGAACTGCCCTGCCTGTGGCGATGTCCTTCCTCGGACTGAACTGGAATGGGATTCCTGAAGCTTAAGAAGTCTTCTCCTAGAACGTGAGTTTAAGTGCCCTCCCTGACTTGTCCCTCTCTTCTGGACATGCCCTGCTGGTCATTGTGTTTCTCACAGTTTGGAGCACACAGGTGGACATAAGGTTCCAGGTGGGGTATGAACAGCACTAGGAAGAGTGGGAACCATCACCTCCTTAATTCTGGTGGTTCAACCTTTTTTGATGCGACCTCAGTGGTTATAGTGTGGAAAGGTGGTGGATTATAGTGGTTATAACCATGGACTCTGGAGTCAGAAAGGCTAGTTCCATCCCTGGCTCTGCCACTCACTAGAAACCCTGGGCAAATTACTTCTCAGAATTTCAGTTGCCTCATTTACCAAACAGAAATAAAAACAGTTCATTCCTCTCTCCCAGTCCTGACCATAATGCCATGTCCAGCTTTGTCTATATCAACCTGGGATATACGTCTTGAGAAGGTCTCAGCACTGCTCAGTATGGACTGGGCACCAGGAGGCATTGAGGAATGTGGGTCCCTGCCCCCCTTCCCACCATTTCCCCCATTAGCTGGGGGCAACTTTCCCTTTCCCTGGAGGCAGGAGGGCTTCCCTCTCCATCTTCGGGGTTCAGATGCCTTGGTTGGTGGTCTCCACCCTGGAGTCTGGGAGTGCAGAGCAAGAACCCCCATCCTACCCCAGCTGACCCCTATCCCTTTTCAGGGCAGTGTCCAACCCTTCCACTGCATGGACACTAGAACTGAGACCCAGAGAAGGGCAGGGCCTGGCTCAAAGCCACACAGTGGGACAGCACAAGAGCCAAGACTGGCCTCATAGGCTCCAGAAGTCCAGTTTAAGTCTCTTTCGTCAGCCCCTCTAACCTAGAATTTGTTTCTGTTTTGTCCTGGTCTGGGGCCTCACAAGAAATTCAGGAGGTAACCAGTAGTCGCCTCCTCTCTGGTCTCCTGGCCTCCACCCTCACCCTTCATAGGCTGTTCTCCCATAGCTGCAGAAAGAGCCTGTGTAAACCAGGTCATGTTCCTCCTCTGCCTAAACTCCTCCATGGCTCCCGTTGCCCTCAGAGGAAAAGCCAAAGTCCTTACCACAGCCCACAGGGCCCTGTGTGATCTTTCCCATCTCCCCACCCTACCATCTCCTCTCCCTGCCTCGCTCACTCTGCTTCAGCCACACCGGCCTTGCTGTTCCTCCTCATGAACTGAATTCCTCCTGAGGGTCCTGACTTAGGGCCTTTGCACGGGCTGTTCCCTCTGCCTGGACCGCTCTTCCCCCAGATCGCTGCATGGCTCCTCCAGCACCTCCTTCTGGCTTGCTCAAATTTCATCCTGATCCTCTTCCAAAACCACAAACCACCCCCTGGCATCCCCCACTCCTTGCCTGACTTTTCTCTTTTGCGTCTATCACTTCCTAACCTCCATAATAACTTATTGGGATCATTGTTTCTTGTCCCTAACTCCCCCTAGAGCAGTGATGTTCCATATGGCAGCCACACAGAACTATTTAAGTTTAAGTTAATTAAAATGGAATAAAAGTAAAAATGCAGTTCCTCAGTCATACTAGCCACATTTCAAGGGCTCAGTAACTGCGTGTGGCTGGTTGCTGTCTTATTAGACAGTGTAGCTCAAGAACATTTCTATCATTGGGAAAGTTCTAGAGAGTTGCTCTAGAATGTCAGCTTCCAAAGGACAAGAGACTTTGGGCCTGGAATACAGCAGGCACTCAATGATTGCTTGCTAAATGAATGAAGGTAGCCGCTGGCCCTCCTGCAGTGGCTGAGGCCTGCCCCTAGCGCGGTGGCATGTGTCCCCACAGATGGCCGGAGGGGCCTGTGGCTGTGTCTGTCCCTGGTGCCACCCCAGCACACGTGTGCACACGCGTGGGGCTGCCGGGAGAGAGAACGAGAACGCTTGAGCCCCGCCAGGTGCCCCGAGCTGCCGACACCTGCCCACGGACTGGCGGTGACTCAGTCGCTCGCTGGTGCTGTGTTTATTTTTGGCTTCATTAGCATTTCTGCTGGGAGCAGCCGGTGGGTAGGCGCCCGGGTCTCCCCCAGTGCCGCCTGCCTCCCTCCAACCCGGCTGCCGGCTGCCACTGGCTTCAGTCTGGAGCCCAGAATCCAGCCAAGTACACGACAGACCCAGCAGTGGCCCTGGGGCTCCTGCAAATGCACTTCCTCAGCACCCACTCCGTGCTCTCCCTCCCACCTCGCTGACCACCCCTCTGCCCAGCCCCCACAACCAGTCTCTCGCCTGCTCCCTCCTTGGGCGAGCTCTCTCCCTCCCCAAGACTTCAGGGTTGGGTTTTTTTTTTTACACCAATGAAATAAGCAGCCTAGTGGTTGAGACAAAGACTCTGTTATCAGATGGGCTGGATTCAAACCTTATCCTTGACACTCCCCAGCTGCATGACTGCACAAGTCACTTGACCTCCCTGTGCCTCAGTCTCCCCATCTGTAAAGTGAGGATCATACTAGAACTTGTTCCACAAGGACATTATAAGGACTAACCAAGACAATTCCAGTAAAGTGCTCAGGACAAGCCGAGCACATGGGCAGTAACGAATAAGCATCAGCCTTGATCGACACATACACCCTACCTGGGGTCCACCTGCCTCCTGGGCATCTAAGAGGATGTGCCCCAGACACAGCCCAGAGGTGACAGGGTGGGCGACGAAACCCTGCACCTGGTATTTCCATCACTGCAACATTTTGCCTTCAAAAAAGGAGCAAGTGAAAAACCAATTGTGTTAATAGTGTTTCGCAACTCAGAAAAGGTGACTTTTAATTAGTTGCTCCTTTTTTTTTTTTAACACTCACTTGACCAAAAAGACAGCTCTGTATGGCAGGACCTAAAAAAAAAAAAAGGGGCCAGAATTTGCAGGCTGGGCTGCAGGCAGACCTGGCTCCAGGAGAACAGGGTGGGGGCTTTCTCTGGCCTCCGCTGGGCACAGAGCAGCTAAGGCTTATGCAGACTTCGGCTCTGATCGAAGTTCTGCCACTGACTAGCCGGTAGTGACATACCTCCCTGAGCCTCAGTTTGCTGTCTATAAAACAGGGAGGATGCCCACCACTCCCACCCCTTCCTGGCACCCACTTTCCCTGTGGCTTGAGGTCCCCCACCATCCACATCACTGAATTCCAGCTGCAATTTTCACTTGTCCAGGCCTCCTCCTTCTGGCCCCACCTGTCTCCCCCAGACCAGGGTATCGCTGAAGGCTGGCCCCCAGCATCACACAGCACTGTCCGGCTCACAGTGGACATGAACATGAATTGTTGATTGAACTCATCCCCAAAATCAAACTCCACCCAACGCCTCCTCATCCCCCTTTACTCACTGTGCATCAAAACACATTAAGTGCAACTTGACCTCCTGGCCTTTGCCCATGCTGGTGCCTCTGCCAGGAACACCTTTTCTGCAATTCAACTCCGCCTGATGTGCTCCCACCTCCAACATCACCCCCTGCTAGAAACCTTTTCAGGCCCCCAGGAACAACCCTTTCTCCCTGCTCTGGGCTCCCCCAGCCCCTGGTCCCCAAGCCCTGACCACAGTGAGCTGGATGAGGCCATCAGCTTTGAACTCACCCTCCACTGCATTCCCATTTGCAGGGGTCCCTGGCAGGGCCAGCTCCTCTCCACTTGCTGCCTCCTCCCAGAAGCCCTCCACACCTGGGCTCCCTGCCAGGACCTCCAGCTCAAACTCCTCTGGGCCCAGGGAGACAGGCAGCAGGGTGCTGTGGGAGTCCCATGGCACTGTAGGCTCCCCTGAGGAAACTGAGACAGGCTCGTCCATGCTGGCTGCCGTCGCTGTCCAAGGAGGAGGAGTGGGCTCCCCTGGGGGGCTGCCGTCATGCGGAGGGGCCAAGGCTCCCAGTGTTCCCTGGGTCACCATCTGGCCCTCAAGCTCTGGGTGGGACTGGGAGCTTGAGGAGGCCATTGTGGACGTGGCCAGGGCCCTAAACTTGTCTCCCCGGTCCAGGGAGGTCACCACACTTGTATCCACAGCCACTTGAGGGCTCAAGGTGGGGCTTTCAGCTCCCTCAACCACATAGGATCCAGGTTCCCAAGTCCCACCAGCATTGCTGGGGTCCAGAGTGGCTATGGAATCCATGGGATCCACTGTGGTTTCTCCATCTATAGTACCCCAAGGCTCCAAACTTGTGGTGACCCTGGGCATCAAGGAGACTCTGGGGCCCCCTGAGGATGAAAATGGGGGGCGGAGGTCCAGCCCTTCAATGTGCAGTGAGGGCCCCGTGCCCTGCACCTCATCCACCATGGCCTGGGAGCTGAAAGTGGGGCTCTCTGCTGTGCTGAAGACCCCAGACTCAGACCCCAAGATGCCACTCATTCCCGTGGGCCCAGTGGCAGTTTCAATGGGGATGAAATCTGCCACCACATTCCCACCCACAGAAGCCTGTGGGCTGGGTCTGGGGTGCTCAGCTTTGCTGAGCCTAGTAGGGCTAGTCCCTCCAGTTTCTGCAAAGTCTGCACTGGGGGAGTTGGGACTGGCTCCACCTTGTGTGCCTGTGGCTGCCTGCAAAGGGGCTGTGGGAGTTCCTGCTCCGTGGCCACTGAGTGTGGGGGACATGGCCTCTCCACCCTGTTCTTTCAGGCCCGAGGAGAGGGGCAAGGAATACACCTCTGGATGGATGGGGTCCTGGGGGCTGGCCTCGGTGTCTGAGGTAGGGGAGGGTGGGGCAGCGGCTATGGCCTCACTATGCTCCTTGATCCCATTGGCCTGGGTGGGGAGGGGTGTAGGCTGTGATAGTAGCCCCAGTTTGGGGGCACGAAGCATGGCCATGACAGGGAGGTCTGGGGAAGTGACCATGGAGGACGCTTCCCAGGAGGCAGTGCTGGGGCCCTCTGAGGGGCTGGGAGCCAGGGCAGTGATCTCCATGGGGGACCAGGGCAGGTTGGGGGTGGCTGGCCTCACAGTGGGGCCCCTGGCTTCCTCTAGCTCCAGGCCAAGGGCCCTGCTGGGGCCTGGGATGCTGGGTGGGACCACGGTTGGGGGCCACAGCCAGAGCTCTGGGGAGCTCCTGCCACCAAGGGAACCTGCAACAAGATCAACAAGTCATTATAATTCTGTCTCAGCAGCTCCTTCTGTTGAGTGTCTCCTGGGCTCCAGACCCAAGGAAGAGGGGGCTTCTGAGGCTTGGTGAGGCCAGGGGACCCAGCTGGGATTTGGAGCCTCCTCCCCCAGACCCCCTCAGACCCCCAGGCAAGTCCCACCTCCCCCTTGCACCCCACTCACCAGCTCCAGGTACATCCACCTCATTAGTCAGCACCGCCCAGGGGCTTTGGCTCCAGCCACTCCTCAAGTCATCTGTGGCTTCCGTGGCCAGGGGAGGCTCCACATGATTCCCAGCAGCCTCTGAGCTAGGGGGCTGGGCACTGGCCTTGAGCCCCCCGTCCAGCTCTTGCTGGGGTTCCTGCTGCTGGAAGTGGCGCCCATTCAACCCTTTAAAGGGGCCCCTCTTCCTAGGCGTAGGGCCGGCTGGGGTTGCCTCCCTGTGTGTGTCTCCCTCAGTGCCTGCCTCCACGCTGCTGCGGCTGGGGGCTTCGGTGCTCAGCCATATCTCCTCAGCCTCCTGGGCAGGCTTTGAGGCTGGCATGGGGCCCCCAGGGGCAGGGCTGGGCGTCTCTTGAGACTGCTGCTTCTCTGCCAAGAGCGGAGTCTCTTCCTCCCCACTGGACACCAGAGGCTCCTGGAAGTCAGGGGTGACCACCTCCTCCTCCCCCAGGCTGAGCTCCAGTTCTTGGGCTGGGGGCCCTTCGGCAGACAAAATCTCCCCCTCATCCCCAGAGGAGGGGGTCTCTGGGTCTCCATGTTGTGGTGTAGAGTGATGAGCTGTGGGAGAAAGCAGAAGAGGTTGTGTTAGGCCTAGGGGCTGGCTGGGAAGTTCCGCCTGAAGTCTACCCACATCCCAGCATGCTGCAGTACAGACCTTCTATGTATCTCTCTCTCCGGGCCCCTCTGTCTCTCTGGGTGGTTTCTGGGATCCCCCAGACTGAGAGAGGTAGGTGCAAAGTTATCACCCCCACTGTTCAGGCTGGGGTCCACCGTCAAGGTCAGAGTCAACTGGTCACAGTAAGGGGTCAAGAGACAGCTTGGCGTGTGGGTGAAGCTCAGGCAGTGGCCAACTTTCACGGGGCAGGTCAGACCCGAGCGGTGGCTCCTCCCCCGGGGGAGGAAGTGCCTAATGGGCGTGGCCTTCTTACTAAAGGTTTTTTTTTTTCTTCCCCTTACACAAAAGACTTAGCTCCTTGAAGGTGAGGTTTGCAGTTTCTGAGGCTGAGGCCCCACCCCAAGGGCAAGGGTCATCCCTGGTCCGGTCTTTAGGGGGTGTGGCCTTGCCCAGGGGGCGTGGCTAGTCGAGGCATCACTAGCTCCCCAGGGAGGGCTTATGGGCATGGCTCCAGGTAAAATATGCTCCATCCAGGGGCGTGTCTTGCAGAGATCTCAGGAGATATAGCCCACCCGCTAACCAGGACTCCCCGCCGAGAGCTTGGCCTTATCTGGGGCCCGGTCCTTCCCCCAGAGCGGGGCTCCTAGGGAAAGACCTGTCTCAGGGGCGTGGCCTTTACCGGTGCCTGGCTTATGCTGGAACGTGTTTTCCTCCGTCTCTCCCCTGTCTAGGCTCCGCCGCCAATAGACAGCACAGCTCCCGGGGGCGTGGCCTTTACCACGGTGCATGCCCCTGGGAGCGTGGCTACCAGAGGACACCGCTCCCCCCTCCGGGACGTGGCCTCACACGCACCTCGGAAGCAGTAGGCATCGAAGCGCGCTCCGGGCGCCGGGAAGCCGGTGCGGTTGGCGAAGCGGTAGACAGTGCGCACGCCCGGGGCGGGGCCCCCGCAGCGCCGGCGCGGCGTCTGGATGGGGTAGCGCACGCTGCCGTCGGCCAGCCAGCCCGGGTCGCACTGATCCAGGCCCTCGTGCCAGGCCAGGTGCAGCTGTCCCACCGAGGCCAGCGCGGCGCCCTGGCGGCGGCACTGGGCACGCGCGCCGGCCAGCGTCAGGCGGCGGGCCGGGCCCACATAGAAGACCTCGCCTAGGGGAAGGCGCAGGCGGAGGTCAGAGGGGCCTGGAGGACCCTCCCCCGGAGCCCGGGAAGGGGGTTCCACTCCAAATAGCCCCGACCTGGCCGGGTTTGGGTGGTGGCTAAACAAGTGGGCAACAGCCGCGGCTGTGCGCCCCCCTCGCCAGAGCAATGTTGTCGTTATTTCTCATGCATTGCTAAGAAGAGGGGGTTTTAGCTTCTTTTTACGAAAGAAGTAACTCAGGCCCCTGAGCGAGTCAGTCTTCAGAGAGAGGGAGGGGCTCGGTGAGGGGGGCTCAGAGAGGAGGTGAGGGATAGGAAGGAGGAGAGGCGGGCAGGCAGGGGGAGAGGCTCAGAGAGAGGGAAGGGGCAGAGAGGAGAGGGGCTCAAAGAGGGGAGGAAAGCTCAGGGAAGGGGTGGGCCCAGGTCTTAGCTGCAGGTTTAGAGAGAGATGAGACTTAGGAGATCTAGGCAAGGACTTGGGGATGGGGAGGGTAACAGGGGCTCAGGGAAAGGGGGCGTCCTGCCAGCCCCAGACTTACCCCCCAGCTCACGGGCAAAGCAATACACATCATAGAGTTCCCGTGGGTCACGCCTCCCATAGCTCCTCACCCCTGGAAGGCTGCTACGGTCACCGTAGCAACCAGGACGGGATTGAGTGATAGGATACCTGACAAGACAAGGAGGGGTCCCTCTCAGATGTGTGCTCCTGGAGCCCCCATGGACCATCTTTCCCCAGGCGCTAGGTCTCCATCTCCCCACCCTGTGTACCCTCTCACCGAACAGTGCGGTCAGAGAGCCACCCAGCGTCACAGTTGTCAAAGCCATCCTCAAAGGCAGCCTGCAGGTGCCGCGGGGCTGCAATGGTGGCCGAGCTGAGACGGCAGGCCTCCTGGGCCTCTGCGAAGGTCAGCGCATAGCGATCCTGGGCTGCCCGGTAGTGGAACACGACACCTGTGGGGGAACATCCAGGATAGGGGGCAGATTTATGCCAGAATCTTCAAAAACAGACCTCCCTCTTGCAGAGTGCCCCCCCCAGTCTGATAATAATAGATCTGCTGCCCTACACTGCCCTGTATCATGTCCCTTCTCTCAGCACCAGGCACAGCACTAGGGCAATGGTGGGGGTGAGACTGATATGCCCCCATTTTACAGATGAGGAAACTGATAACAGTGGCCATAAAGGGCTAGAATTTGTCAAATATTTACTACATAGAAAGAATTTATAAGCATTATCTCATTGAAATCTTACAACAACCTTATGATTATCCCCATTTCCAGAGGGGGAAACTAAGGCTCAGAGAGCTTGAGGGACACGTCCAGGGCCACATAGCCAGTATGAGGCAGAGCCAGAATTCATATCCAGGAAGATCTGACGCCCAAGACAGCACTCTTCACTCCCAGGGCTAGGCCTGGTGATGACAGGAGGCATGGAGAAGACTGAGAGAGAGATTTTGCCTTTTAGGAATTAAATACATGCACTGATAAGGGAAGCACAGGCAGCAATGTGAGATCGAATGTGATTCTTGCCCAGCCTGGGAATGGAGTCACAGAAGGCTTCCTGAAGGAGGTGACATGTAAGCCAGGACGTGAAGCATCACCAGGCTCACTGTGACTCAAATTCTGATTCAGGGATGAAAGAGATGGCTGAGCAAGACAAAGGAATGAATATTTTGCCCCATCTTATCAAACTGAGAGCTCCCGGGAGGTGGCAGCTGCATCTCAGTCATAGTTTTGTCCCTAGTACCGGGCTGGCATGTGGTCGGTGTTCAATAAATGTTTGGCTGAATGAATGAACCGAACAAACTCAGAGGTGGAATTCACTTCTTTCACCACTTAACACTTTCCTTTGAGGTTCATCAGTTGTGAGAAGCGAGGCCTTCGGAAGCGGATGATTGGTGGACCTTGTAAAATATGCACTGAGACACCGCTGGGCGGAGGAAGACTGAGCCCGGGACAGGGGTGCAAGGACTTGCTCGTGGCCAACACAGGGTAAGGGAAACCAGCTTCCCAACAGGAGCCCACAGGAGGTTTTCCACACAACAGTCCATTCACTGAGTCATTTCTGAAACATCTATTGAGCATCTCCTGTGTGCCATGCCCTGTTCTAGGACTTGGCTTTACGAATTAAAAACAAATTTTTGTGCCTTGTTCACCATGATCAGTTAAGAAAATAGAAACTACATTGGATACTTCAACAGAAAGAATTTAATACAGGAATTGGCTAAACAGGTACTTGATATATATTGTTATATATATATTGTTATTTAATATATATTTTCAATCGACTTTTTAAAAAGAAAATCCTCTTAAAAACATAAATTTATTTAAAAAGGAAACTTCTATTTCTATTTTAAATAGAAAGCCAATGTCCTTTGCCATATGTGAAAGTAGGTGATCATGAAATGGACTTAAAACAAAGTTATGAAATACTGTGGTTCAACAGGAGACCGAGCCAGAGATGCTCTCTCTTAGCTAAAAGAGAGAGAGGTGTTAAAGAGAGGGTAGTACCCATGGAGACTTTCTCTTTTTGTTTTTTGTGAGGAAGATCAGCCCTGAGCTAACATCTGCCAATGCTCCTCTTTTTGCTGAGGAAGACTGGCCCTGGGCTAACATCTGTGCCCATCTTCCTCCACTTTATATGGGACGCCGCCACAGCATGGCTTGCCAAGTGGTGCGTCAGTGCGTGCCAGGGATCCGAACCAGCGAACCCCGGGCTGCCGCAGCAGAGCGCGCACACTTAACTGCTTGCGCCACCAGGCCGGCCCCCCATGGAGACTTTCTTTGTGATTTTATCAGAAGAATTGAAAGAGAATCACTGTTCAGGGAGTGATTTCTTTTTTTCCCTGAATCCTACTTCTTTAAAAAAAATTTTTTTTTATTGAAGTCGCATTGGTTTATAACATTATATAAACTTCAGGTTTACATTATTATATTCCAACTTCTGTATAGACTGCGTCATGTTCACCACCTAAAAGGGAGTGATTTCTAAGGTGACATTCAGGCTCAGCACCTCCCCCTCCCAGCCTTGGCTCCTCTCCTGCCCCAACTGACCCGTCACCTCCAAGGGCACCAGGTCCTGCTCATCCTCGATGCCCCTCACCACCTGGCAGCGGTAGAGCCCAGAGTCGCTGGCTCTCAGCGGCCCCAGTAGCAGCGTGGCGTTGGCCCGGTGCTGGGGGTAGGCGGGCAGTGACACACGTCCCTGCCAGCCCTTGGCCACTCGAATCACGTTGTCCTTGGCCACCAGGATGGGCAAGTCCTGCCGCTGGCCTGATGCAGTCCGCACCTTGGTCCACTTGATCCGAGGGGCTTCTCGGGCTGCATTCGGCCATGGCCACAGGGTGAAGAGACAGGGCAGGGCCACCAGCTCTGCCAGCGTGGCCCGCACCGACCCAGATCCCACCTTCTGCATGTGGAGCCCTTTCTCACTGGCGGCAGCGGCAGCAGCGGTGCTGTCCTGTGTGCCTGGGGTGGAGACAGGGCCTGACTCAGGGGCAAGGACCAGCAAAGACTGCTTTTCCCTCACTTTACAGATAGGGAGACTGAGGCCAGAGAGGGTAGATTGCCTGCACCATATCAGAATGCAGTGCACAGACCGGTACCCCAATCTCTGAGCAGAAGAGGAGTAATGGGTTGAATCCCTTCATAGTCCAGACCCTAGAGGCCAGGGATTTGACTCTCAGTGTCACTGACTCACTGTGTGGCCATGGGAAAGTCAGTGTCCTTCTCTAAGCCACAGTTTCCCCAAAAGTTAAGGGAGAGGCAACCATCGGAAGGGAAATGGTGTTTGTGGAGTACCTTCTATACAACAGGCACTTTATAGATAGCAATCAGCTCATGTGATTTTCATAACCATCTGCAGAGGTAGCCATATCTCATCCTGTTTTGGGGTGGTTGAGGAAACTGAACCTCAGAGACATCATTGTACTTGCCTAAGGCCACAGAGCAAATCAGGAGGCATTTCTAAAGCCTGGGCTTTTGAATGCCACTGGGGAGATGCCAGGGAGAGGCACACAGACCTTTATTTCTATTGCCCTGCCCATGGCAGGCAACACTAATCAATCTCTGCAGTATTCTCACTTTTTCTTTTCTCTCTCTTCGGCTCATCTCAGCAAAACGGTGAGAGGCGGGAACCTCCAGCCTCTGCTGGCAATGACTAAAAATAACCTCTCAGGTGTCTTGTTCGCTTTTGACTGTTCAAAGACCTTTTTTATCTATTCTCATTTTATTCTCCAGACCAAGCCAGGGAACCAGCAGGAGCAGGCTCTCGAGTTAAAAAGCTGCCCCATCTTGTCAATCCCCCAGACCCCAACCCCACCCACCCCACAAACCAACTCACTCTGTTCCCCAGCCACAAAAAGCAGCACCTGGAGCATCAGGAGGCCCAAGGCCCAGAAAGACATGGCCCCCATCCTGGACCTGGAATGAGATGGGGGTAAGGGGGGGTGAGCACAACACTCCCAGACAGTTGGCATGGAAGGACCAAGCCCCCCCACTCTACGATCTGGAAACTGGGGCTCAGAGGAGCCAGTGTGTCACTCAAGGTCACACAGTCAGCAAGCAAGGGCTGAGCCAGGATCTGAACCCAGGACCAGCTGACTTCAGAATCCCAGCAGTGAGGTCTCATGGTCAGAAGCACGAGTGCTGGAGTGACTCAGACCTGGGGTTGTCTCTCTGCCTGTTCCTTGCTGTGTGACCTTGGGCAAGTAGCTTAGCTTCTCTGTGCCTCGGTTTTTTCACAGGTCAGATGGGGATAACATCGGGAAGTTGGAAGTAACAGATGAGTCAACACAGTCACATATAAAATGCTTAGAACTGCCTGGCATGAAGGAGTAAATTTCAGCTGTTGTTATTATTATCACTGACCCTAACCAAGCCAAGATCAAAATCCCATTTTTCCAGTTAGCCTCCCCCATCCGAGTGGGGGCTCCTAGAGGGAAGCAGCCAGTCCCAGTCTGCCTGAGGACCCAAGTCCCGGCAACAGGCTGGCTTCAAAGCCAGCCTTTAATCTGGGTTTGCTGACTGACACGATTCTCAGCTTCAATTCCAGGATTTGGTTGTTGCCAAGATTCTATTCTTGGTTTCTGGGATTTCTGAGGAGCTGCCAAGTCCCAGCTGGAGGAAGGGGCCACGCCCCTGCCCACCCCACCCTCCCCCTGACTTCACACGGCCTGGTGAAGATGCTTCCTAGGTCCACAGAGAAACTCCAGCTGTGGGTCCAGCCCTCTATAGAGGTTGTGGCCCACAGGTATAAAGTGGACAATTATTGAGTGCCAACTGTAAGCAAGGCCCATTCCAGGCACCTGGACACAGCAGTGACCTCCTAGACCTCATGTTCTTCCAGAGACTAGAAACCCTGGGGAGGTGGCCCTCCCCAAAGCCTCCCATCCCTCTGGACCACCCTCTTGCCGGGGGATGGGAGGTGGGAGCAGATCGGAAGTTTGAACATCACCTACAAACCCAGCCCTTGCACCCTCCCCACCGATAAAAGAATAGCCCTGAGGAAGGGACTGTGGATGGAGTCCAGAATGGTGGGCTGTGGGGAACATCCGCCCCCCTCCCCAGGGCCCATTCCCAGCGTCCAGAGGCCCCTGCTGGGAGGCCGGCCGGGGACCTGTCCGTGGTGCTGAACACTGGAGCGGGAATGCAGCCACTCAGCTGGCTCGGTCTCCTCCTTGCCTTCTTACAAAAGCGCCTCGGGGCCCAGAGAGGGCTAGCAGTTTGCCTAGGACTGCACAGCAGGGCAGAGACCAGGCCCTGGGATGGTGACCCCGACTACCAATCTGTAAAACTCAGCGGCCTCTGCCTCCATCCCAGGCTGTCCTCACTTCTCTCCCTCAGAACCCCAAGCAAGTGTAGGGTCCCCTGATGGCTGTTCAAGGCCTGGCTGGGTACTAGAGGGAAAGGCAGGGCTCTGGGCTGCGCCTGCCCCAGGAGGGCCTTAGGATGGGTGAGTTCAGAGAACTCTCACATACACACGCGCACTGTATGGTTAAGAGTTCAGACTACATCCAGATGGTCTGACTTCACCCTCTGCCTCTACTCCCTACACACTGCATGACCCGAGACGGGCTGCTTTATCACTCTGTGCCTCAGTTTCCCCACCTGAAAAATGGGGATCACCCAGTATGTACCTCATAGAGTTACTGTAAGGATGGAATGAGTTAAGACTTGTGAAGTCCTAGAAATGTTAAATTTAAAATCAGCTTTTTGTGCACAAAGCCTTGCATACACACTCAAATAACCAGAGGTGGTCCAACACAGTGACAGACACAGTTTCTGGTACACCCCCCCACGCACACACCTGCCCTCCCACATGCACGCGGTCCCCCCCATTTGCACCCTCACACACCCACACCCCTTCTCTTAAAATACCTTCTTCCTAGGGCTGCCAGAGGTGAGCATTTACACAGCTGCCTGGGGCTTGTCCCCTCATGAATAATGCATGATCCTTATGCATATGCAAGTAGGGGCCTTTGGGGCATTGGGGGAGGGGAGGCTTGGAAGGAGGGTGTGTGCTTGTGTGTGTTTGTGTGCATGTCTCCCACTCCCTCACACTCACCTCCTGTCTCAGTGTGCACTGAGTGAGGGTTAGTTTGCCAGCAGGCATTTTTGTGTGTTTGTGCCTGGGTGTGTATTGGGGTGCTGTGTCCAGGCAAGGATGTCCGTGAGGTTGTGCCCTGTGGTGTGTGGATGTGTGTGCAGGTCCACAGAAGCTTTATGTACGGGGTGGAGCATAGGGGACCCAGTGTGGTCTCTGGATGTGTGGGTCCGAGTGCCCGTCGGCAGGGGCTGTGAGCACATTTGTGTATTTCTGGCCTGGGAGTCCGGGCGTATTTTTGTGCATGGGCGCGAGTGTGGAACTCCTCAGAGAAGAAAGCAAGCTGGGCTCAATAAATCATCCCAGGCTGCCCCTTGGGGACCTGAAGTGCCTGCCAACATCTCCCCCTCCCCTCCCCCATTCGCTCCCCAACTCTGCACACAGACCACATCTCACACCCCAACGCCCAGGGTCCACACTGCCAATCACATGGATAGAACCCTTGCTCTACCCACAGGACACACACGCGGCCACATACCCCAGAATCAGAGCCTGACACACACACACACACACACACAGATTCACAGTGACATTAACAAAGAGAGACAATATGGGCAACTTACAAGGCAGGCAGCACATCTTCTGCACAAAGACACACACCCACAACCTCAGGCTCCCCACATAAACCCCCTGATGAGGACACACACTCAGACACAGTCCCTCACACACACTCACACAGGGCGATGCCAGCCCCTGGGACAGACCAGGCTGGATAAATGTGGCCTTGGTGACTGGTGGGCACACATCATTTTGCCACCTGGTGATGTGGCCCCTGGCACAAGTTTCCTGACAAAGACACAACCTCGGTCACATAAGACTCACAGAGGACCCCAGCCTCCCCCCCATGGGCACATACCCTCTCCCAGCACGGGGTAGACACAGACACACACACACACACAGACACACACACACACACACACACACACAGCCCCCACCTCCTGGGGGAGGCACCTTCACCCATTTGGGAATGTCCATAAGTCATCGAGGCAGCTGGGTTCTGGGGTCCCATGGTGCGCCCACCTCTCCCTCCCCCCCTTCCCCCACGTCCCCCTGCTGGGGCCCACTGCCAACCCTTTCCTCGGCCTGGCTGTCTCCCATTAATGCTGCCGAGAGGAACAAAGCCCCGTGCACAGCAATGGGGGTCGCTCCTGCCCAGGCTGGGCCTGGGTCCCAGCCTCCTACTTCCCAGAGCCTGTGCCCCCAAACCAAGCTAGGACTTTCACATGCGTCCACATGGACAGATGACACTGAAGGGGTGAGGCAAGGATCTGTGTCTCACTGTGAGGACATGGTCAGATGTGGAGGTGGTGGGAATGGCCCCCCTCTTGGGACTGGGTGCCCTCACGGTTCCTAGAGATCCATTACTAGGGGCTTTAGGGGGCTCCCACCCAGCATTCACCTGGGACACCCAGTGTGCTCCCTGGGAGAAGGGACAGCACCCCAACTCCAGGTCTGAGACCACCTTGGGATGGAGCCCCCAAGAGCCTCCTCCCTGAGTCGGTGTGTGGTGACAGGACCTGGGCTGAAAGGACAGGGAGACCACAGAATGCCCCTTCCCCATGGCCATGGCCGTTCACTCTCAGTGCAGACCCCCTTCCATCTGGCTCAGGCTGATCTGGAGGGGGCTGTCCCACTGCAGTCCAGCCTGGATTCCTCCATTCATCTGCAAACTGGGAATCCCCACTTAAAATCTTGGAGTATCTCAGCTCAGACACCAGGATGCCTTATTCCAGAGTCGCCCATACAGCATCTGGGTGTCCCTTTCTTCTCTCTAAACTCGGGGTGCGCCTCCCCTAGCCTTGGTTCCCAGTGCCCCCCCCCCAAATTCTGAGACCCACCTCCAGCCCGGCCCCCTCCCCACCATGAGGTTGTCTCCGCATTCCCTGGACAACCTTACCCCCAAATCCATGACCCCCTGACATTCCCAAGCCCCCTCCCAGTTTGCGTTCCCTCCCCAACCCGGGGCTCCCCTCCCCCTCTGAGCCCTCTCCCCGTTCTGGGGGCTTCTCTTTGATATCAAGCACCCTCCCCAATTCCGGGCTCCGTCTTTAATCCCGAGGACTTCTCCCCCAACGCGGCCCCTTCCCCACGAAGGACCCCCCACCTGGCTCCTAGTTCGGATGCATCCCCGGGTGGTCGCCCAGCACAAAGAACGCTCCGGCTCCGCTTAGCTCCCTCTGCGCGGGGTCCAGCCCCTGCGCCCTGCGCTCTGCTCGCCCCAGCGCCGCCTCAGCGCTTATAAAGGGGCCACGGGGCTGCTCTGCGCATGCGCCCCTGCCAGCCCGCGGCCTCCGGCTGCGCGAGGAAACTCCCCCCTGCCTAAAACCCTCTCCCCACTCCTTCGACCACTAACCCATCAAGCGAAGACTGCGCCTGACTTTCCGCAATTCACTTCGCCCCAGGAGCCACGTTAAATGTCCCCAGACGCCCCATGGCGGGACCTGCCCCATCCTACAGATGGGGAAACTGAGCCCCAGGGAGACAAGTCGCTCCCAAGGTCATGCAGAGGGGAGCGCAAGACTGGGATTCCAACCCTGGCCTGGCTGACTCTCCAGGGCTCGCCCTTGAAGCAGTTTTGGCTACAATTACTGTTGTATCCCATGTACAGAGAGGAAGCTGAGGTGCAGAGAGGGCAGGAAGGTCCCTGGGTCACACAGCTGGTAAGAAACTCACAGGGGGCCCGCCCCCTGGCTTAGCGGTTAAGGGCGCATGCTCCACTACTGGCGGCCGGGGGTTCGGATCCCAGGCGTGCACCAACGCACTGCTTCTCCGGCCATGCTGAGGCCGCGTCCCACATACAGCAACTAGAAGGATGTGCAGCTATGACATACAACAATCTACTGGGGCTTTGGGGGGAAAACAAATAAATAAAATTTAAAAAAAAAGAAACTCACGGAGTCAGAGCCCAGGTGTGTCACACCCCAGAGCTGTTTCCACTGGCTCCAGCCACATGTGTCTTCATTCATTCATTCCTTTGTCCAATCAGCATTTATGGAGCGCCTGCTGTGGAGCAGGTACTGTTGTCACAGGAATACTTTTGCTTTGAGCAGGTGGCTTGTGGGTATCTTTGCAGGGAAACCCCAATTGTAAAAGGCCTAGATCCACACGATGGAATATTATGCAGCCATAAAAAGGACTGAAGCACTGATACACGCTACAACATGGATGAACCTCAAAAAACATCATGCTAAGTGAAAGAAGCCAGACACAAAAGGCCACATAGTGTGTGATCCCATTTATACAAAATGTTCAGAAGAGACTAATCCAGAGGCAGAAAGTAGATTGGTGGTTGCCAGGGGCTGGAGGAGGGGATGAGGAGTGACCCCTAATGGGGACGGGGTTTCCTTTGGGGATGATGAAAATGTTCTAGAACTAGATAGAGGTGATGGTGTACAATAATATGAAGAGAGACTTAATGCCACTGAATTGTACACTTTAAAATGGTAAGTTTTATGTTCTGTGTATTTTACCACAATGAAAAATGGCAGTGAGAGGGGACTAAAGCTTAAAGAGGTGAGCCTCTTCCCCCACCTTCCTTCCCTTGTCTTAGTCTCTCAGCTGAGAAGAGGCTGCCCCTGGCGGAGGATAGTGTGCTCCACCCAGTGTCCTGCATCTGTGTGTGTGTGTGTGTGTGTGTGTGTGTGTGTATGTTTGCACATCTCTGGGTGGGGGGCTGTCAGTCTGGTGGGGGCACAGACAAGCAGGGGACAAGATTGTTTCTGCAAAATTACCAAAGAGGGTATGGGAGTGAGGGAAGGCCACAGAGCAGGGTCGCCATAGTCCTCCATATCTGTCAGCATCTTGTGTGTGTGGACTCAACCTGCTGGTCTGGTGGTGACCCTCGGGGCCAGAGTGACACACTGGAGAGCTATGCTTATTGTCCAACTCCTCGCCACAGAGGAGGAATGGAGGTCCGGGATCACACTGATATGAGTGTCTGCAGGTGACAGGCTGGTGTGAGGGGTGTGGTGGTGGCAGCAGTGGTGGGTGATGGGGGTCTGAGTGTGGCTGTGTGATGTGCATGGGAGCCAAGCGGCTTGACCTCCAGAAGTCCAGAGTTCAAAACCCGGCTCTGCCACACTAACAGAGTGATTCTGGGCTAGCCATTTCATCTTTCTGTGCCTCGGTTTCCCCACCCAAAACAGGGATAATTAAGAGTCCCCACCTTACGAGGTTGCTGGGAGAATGAAATGGGAGGTAAATACACAGGATGGGAGCTGCTGCCCATTTTCCAACTGTGGAAATTGAGGCTTAGGGGGACGGGACCACCTGCCTGAGGTTGCACAGTGTGGTTAGGGGCCAAGTGGGAGCCCAAGTCTGTGGCCTCAGAGCCAAGCTTACCCCCAACCCCAATTCTTCCCACCCCTCCACTGCCCCCTCCTCCCCACCCCTCCACTGCCCCCTCCTCCCCACCCCCTGGCCCCCCTGGCCGCTGCCAGGGCTGAGCTTAGAGGGGCTGGCCTGGGCCCCAGGGGCGGGCTGTTGCCGGGGGGCTCAAATGAGGCAACCTTGCCTGGGAATGTGCTGGGCTCAAAGAGCTATTTATAGGCCTGCAGTGGGATTGGGCAAGCCCCCCACCCCGCCTCCCCAAGGCCGGAGTGCCTTCTTTGTCCCCCCCACATTGGGGCCCGGGACAGGGGCTTCCACCAATGCGGGGAGGGAGCAAGGGAGGGGGCTGGTGAGCCAGAGCAGGAGTGGGGAGGCTGGACCTTCCAGGAGAGCTGGGTCTCAGGGGCGGACAGTGTCCCCCAAAGTGCCTCTCAACATACCCAAGGTGACACACAGACACGGCACGTGCAATCACATTCCCATTTGTTACACACAGTGTCACCAAAAAACGACACACAGTCACATCCCAGACACAGTGACAGCACAGGCAGCTCAGATACACCACCACCCAGCAAGGCCACGTATAAGTCACACAGGCCACAACCTCACCTGGCCACACACAAGTCATACCTCTGCACAAACTCACAGCTGTGAGCCCAGCCACACCTAGAGTCCCTTCACACTGAAACACACCCACTGCTGTTCACACTCACTGCACCTTAGCCTTCCTGACAGCCACAAACAGCCCACATTTGCCTCATGTTGTTCACACCCAACCATGTTTATAGCCGGGGGCACACCCACAGACAACCAGCACCCAACCACAATCGCTTGGCACCATGTCAACAATAAGGAGACATATAGTCCTCCTGGGGCCACACTCACAGCCATTCATGCTCACCAACCAGCACACCCAGTCTTGGCCTCAGGTGTTCTCACAAGAGTTCACCTCAGTCCCTTCACAACTGGCTACCTCCTCGCATTCCCACTGTCACCTCCACTTACCCAGGTGCCAGGCTCCCACTCTACCAGGACCCACAAGTCCAGCTGGCACCAAGTGAGTGTCCGCCTACTCTGAGCCAGATCCTGCTGGACCCAGGCAACCCCAGCAGATAAATCAGACCTGGAGCTGCCCCATAAGAGGCTGCCGGCTGAGAGACCCTGTCACACCTACCCCTGCATACTCTCCGTTACATCTATTCTTCAGTGGGAAACCGAGGCTCAAAGCTATCTGAGGGCCTTTCTCTGCCTTGCTCCGGGATGGCAAACTCCTGGGAAGTGGGACCTGTTTTCTGCCATGGGTGGGGCTGCCTCCCCAGAGAGAGTCCCCGCTGACCCATATTTGTTGTGTGGCTTCAAATCCCTGACCTCTCTGAGCCTCCATTTCCTCTCCTGAAAAATGCAGAACTCATTTTAGTGGAGGGAACTCCAGAGTAGACTGGGGTTTGAATCCCAGTCCCTCTGGGTGACCTTAGCCAAATGATTTTGCTTTTCTGTGCCTCAGTTTCCCTCAGGAAAAGAGAGTTGCAGCTCCTGGCTCTTCTCGAGCTCCCTCTGCCCCATCTCCTGGGGTGAGGGGGGAGGGAGTGCCTGGTCTCTCCTCACTCAGGCAAATGAATGGACCACTTTTGGCTGCCCTGCTGGGAGCTTAGAGCTGCTAATTCCCTGGAGAAACAGGAGTCTCTTTCATGCCCAGGCGCCAGTGGGGTGAGGAGGCAGGAAGAGGGTACGAGAGCTGGCCTCATCCCAGTGGGCAAGACGGCTCCATGCCAAGACCAGGAGTGGTGTGGGGGCCCCTGGGGCCATGCATATCCTCAGGACCTTGGCCGAGTGGCTATATCCTCAGCTGTACAATAGAGGTGACACAGACCAGCACAGCAGGTTTAATGAGCCAGTGGATGGAGACAAAACGAGGCTTCAAGTCAAACACAGGGTGGGCTCTCAACAAAGGTCAGCCACTGTTGTTATGTGTCAACCCGAAGAGCCCACTGAATTCTCCAACAGTCTTATAAATAGAATTCCCTTCATTTCACAGATGAGGAAACTGAGGCTTAGAGAGGTCAAGATGCTTGTCCAATGTCACACAGCCAGTGAGTGGCCCCATGGTTTCTCAGGGTCCATGCTCTTCCTAACTTCCTCTGGGGGTAGAGAGGTGTTTCCTGCCACCCTCCGCCACAGCCCTGAGACCAGCAGAGCCGGGTGTCGATGGCACTAGACCATGACTGAATGCAAGAAGTCCTGGCAGGCAGGGGCTGATGGGGCAGCCTTTCCGCTGGTGTCCCAGTTTCCCAGACAGCCCCCACTCCCGCTCTCCGGGGGTGAGCTTGGGCAGAAGCTAGTAGGATGCCAGGAGGACGATTCCCCCAGCCCTTGAAGAAAGAGGCTGGATCCCAGACCATTCAGCTCAAGCCAAGACCACAGCCTCCTGCCAGTGGGCACTCCATCTCAGAGCCCTCCATTCACGCAAATCGGATGCCGCCCCACCTTTCTCATGCACCTTCCGTGAGGGCTCCAGGCCCAGCAGGATCTGGCTCCACATATCTTATTCAAATTCATGGTCTTTCACCCAACCAGGCCTTTGCTTATGCTGTTCTCCCTGCCTGGAACCCCCTCTCCTCCCAATTTTTGTCACCCTGGTGAATCTTGCCCACCATTAAGGTGCAGGCACAATACCCCCTCTCCCAGGAAGCCCTCCCTCCAAGGAGAGCCCCTGCTCTCCCAGCCCTCTCTCTCCCTCTGACTCAGCCCTGGCCCCATGGGGCTGCAGTATCTGTGTCTAGCTCTGTCTTGCCCAAACAGGGGCCTTCTCAGGTACAGGGCTGGATCTGAGGCCTCTCACCGTCCCTAGCATTACCCAGCACAAGGCTGGGCAGTAGGGGATGGCAGGAGGTGTTTAGTGAATCAATGAACCAAATCTTTAGCTTGGTACCTGAGGCTTTGTGTAATTTGGCTGCGCAAACTCCTTTTCATCCTAAAAAACCCATCTCATATGCCCCCTCCTCCAAGAAGCCTTCTTTGATGTTCCAGGCAGCATTTACTGGGAAGATAGTTTTGGAGTCTAAGCCAAGACGCAGAGGGCTGATGATGACTCCCTATACTGGCAACTACTTGGCCTCTTTCTCAATTCTTCCTTTGGCCTCTGGGAGGCAGTGAGGTGCAGGGGTTCCCAGTCGGCATTAGCAGTTAGGGTATGGACTCGGCAGACTTCCCCAAGTAGGAAGACATCATTATAGGGAGTCTCTCGGACTCCAAAACCAGTGATCTATGCCTGCGGGCACGAAAGGACAGCGTCCCGCACGCAATTCCTTTCGGTGCCAGTCCTCCAGCTCCAAGGGGAAACTCAATCGCTGGGCGCGGGCCCTTTAAGAGGCGGGCACGGAAGGGCTGGGCTCGAATCAAACCCCGCTCCGGAGCGCGCCTGAGTCTCAGTGCGCCTGCGCGGTGTCCACGCGGTTCCGGGTGCAGCTCGTGGTTTCCCGAGCTCTTCGCAGAGAAACTGAGGTTCGGAGAGGGAGGGACCGCCCCCCAAACCCACGGGAACCTGTTTTCCTTCCATGGACCTTCTGTGAAAGGCCCGTCCCCTGACCATTGGCAGTTACCCCGAATCCCCCAATTTTTCTGGCAAGGGGGTCATCAAGGCGACATTCAGGACTGGAGTGGCGGGGCGCTGATGGTTCTTGCCCCGTGTTCTAGGTGAGGACGAGCAGACTCAGGCGTGGATAAGGTCGCGCCGCTGTGGCTGCGGTGCCGCCGGGATTTGAACCCGGGCTGATCCCAACTCAGACCTTCGAGGCCTTGTGGAGCCGAGATGACCCACTCTTTGGTTTGTCCAGAGACGCTGAGCAGGTGAGAGCCTGGCGGGGCCGGGCAGTGGCGGGCGGGGCTCGCAGCCTGGGGTTGAGCCTCTGGAGGACAGAACCCGGGGTGGGTGGAGCTGGTGGTGGGCGGGTCCTCGGCGCTGGGCTCAGCCCCTCTCCTCGCCCTGATTCTGGTGCTACCAGGGTGAGTTCGGTGCTGAATCGCAACACGCGGCAGTTTGGAAAGAAGCACCTGTTCGACCAGGACGAGGAGACATGCTGGAACTCGGACCAGGTGAGGCACCTCTCCCTAGACTCTCCACCCGTCGTGCGAATCAGATCTAGGGGTCCAGGGTGCCTTGAGAACTTTGGGGCACCTCAGCTGGGCACAGTTGGGTTGGCCAAGGAGAGAACGTGCGCTAACTGTGCCAGTTGACTGTGTGAATGAGAGAGACAGGTATAGCAGGGCTCTTAGCCTGGAGTGACCTGTGGCCTCAGTTTCCTATCTGCTTCCAGGGCCCCTCCCAGTGGGTGATACTGGAGTTTCCCCAGCGAGTCCGTGTCTCCCAGCTGCAGATCCAGTTCCAGGGGGGCTTCTCCAGTCGCCGGGGCTGCCTGGAAGGTACTGGAAGGGCCTGGAAGATGGGGCTTTGGGGGCGGCACCCTGGCCTCACAGTCTGCCCCTTTTTCCACTGCAGGTTCCCAAGGGAGTGAGGCTCTCAGCAAGATTGTGGACTTCTACCCGGAGGACAACAACTCACTTCAGATATCCTGCCCCAGCCTCTGGGGTGGGGTGGTCTGTGCCTCTGAAAGCTGTGGGCCCTGGCATATCACCTTGAGCAAGTGGCCTCTAGTTTTCCACTGCTTCATCTGTAAAATGCGCTGATGATAACCTGTTCTGTGTGAGAGCCTCAGAGGGGCCCACACCATGCTGGGCCGGCCAGCACATTGGTAGTGTCTGGACTGGGACTGGGTGAGGGCTGGTAGGTAGGAAACGACAAGCCACCTGTTTCCCTTGACTGCCCGCGCTCACACCTTCCCTGTGCCGGCTGCTGAGGTGGACCGGCTGAAGGTGACGTTTGAGAATGCTACTGACTTTTTTGGCCGTGTGGTCATCTACCACCTGCGGGTACTGGGGGAGAAGGTATGAGCCCACTGGGCCACCACCTCCTCCAGGAAGCCCTTGGGGAAGCACAGCAAAGCCCTTCAAGTTCTGCACAGGTTTATTGGCTCCTCTTGGGGAGGGCCCCCTCCCACCGTCTGTCCAGGAGCTGCCTTTGAAGCCAGTTCTGGGTTCCCCCAGCTCTGGGTCGACCGTTTTGTTCCCTGAGTGTCTGAGTCCCCTGCAGACAGCCCTCACTCGGGATCGGTGGGCACCAGGTTGCTCTGGAAGAGTTTAAGGATGTGGTTCTCGATCGCCTGCTGCACTGGAAACAGGACAAGAAGGTGGGCCAGGGACTGACTGGGGGCTGTGGAGGCATAGGCTGACCTGGACCCTCCCCTGGGGGGTGAACTGGGGCCTCCCAGCCTCGGGACCTGGATGGAGGACTCACTTCACACACGAGGAAATCCATGCCCCTCCCAGAGCACAGCTGGGAAGACGGAGGCCCCCACCCCAGGAACCTCAACTTCCCCTAAGTTTATAAAAAACGCGTTTTTGGAGGTTTTTCAGAGGCATAAAAATATTCCTTACCAAACACAATTGGTGAATTGTGATTTTTATGAAAAGATAAGAGGGGCTGTGAGGAATGATTTCTGTCCCAAATGGAATAAAACTCACTGAAGGGAGGGGGAAAATTTCCCAAGCCCTCAATCCCCCCACGACCCCAGGGGGTCAGGTCTGTTAGGATATCCCCTTTTTATGGATGGGGAAGCTGAAGGGGGAAGTGGAGAATCAAACTGGGGTCTGCCTATGGGCCCTGATCACACGCAGCTCCTGCCACGGAGAGGCTGTGGCCCTGCCCCTCTCTCTCAGCGTCCTCACCCTGCCAGGCCTCCGAGTGCACTGTTCCTCTAGCCTAGACTGTCCTCCCTCCCCTGGGACCCCAGGAAGCCCTCCCTGACCTCCACCCATCCTGGGGCTGGGCCAGGGCTGCTTTGGGCCTCCTGCCCCCAAACCCCGGGGAGCCCCGAGAGCTGAGACTGGGACACGCCCAGGCCAGGTACATCGTGGCACTTGACATCTGCTAACACAAACATTCTCTCTGCCAGCATCTGACATCCGAGGGGGATGTCCCGTGACAGAGATGTCCCTCTGTGGTCACCCTGCCTCCAGCCCCCTGTCACGGCCCCATGTGTCTCAGGCCGACCTTTCCGGTATCCCAGGGCCACAGCGAGGTCCATTGGGGTGTAGCCGGAGTCGGCCTCTGTGGTGAGATCAGCTCCTCGGGCTGCAAAACAAAGCAGGTGCTACAGGAGGGCTGGGAGCCTAGAGGGGGTACGGGGATTCAGGAGGCCCAGTGACCGCCCCCCAGCGATGCAGCCACACATATGCCAGTTGTCTGTGTGGTCTTGGACAGAGCCTGAGCTCTCCGAAGAATGTGGCCAATAGAATCCCCACGTCCAGGGTCCCTGAGGAGTGCTTGAACCAGTCAGCCAGACCCCCGTGCTGTCCTCCCACCTCCTGTCCCCACATCAATCCTCTGAGAAAAGCAGACAGTGACCATCTATCCAAGAGCTGTTCACACAGAGCTTGGACCCCTCCCGGGCCCTCAGGACACCTGCAGGGCCAGCCTCTACTCCCACTCACCCAGCAAGGCCTCGACGCACTTTACATGGTTCCCACGCACGGCGTACAGCAGTGGCGTCCCTCCATTCTGTCAGGGGCAGGGGCAGGGGCAACCAACACTATCTTTTCCAGCCTCTCACAACACCCTGCACCCTCCAATTTAATGTCGTTCCTTCTCCTGCTCATCACCTGCCCATCTAACTCCTCCTTTGGGTCTCAGCTTAGATACTCCTTCTTCCAGGAAGCCCTCCCTGACCTCCTTTGGTTGTGCAGGCTGCCTCTGGGCTCTTGCAGCTGCCTGTGCGCCTGCCATCACAGTGTTATTCACTACATCTCAGCTGACTGTTTATGTGTTGGCTCCCCGCCCAAAACTGGGAGCTCTGTGAGGCTTGGGGATGGGTCTGTCTTGCATTCTCAGCACCCCAGAGCAACCCTGGTACCCTGCAAGGTGCCCAGGGCAGTGGGGGGTGGCACCTCACCCAGTCGTAGATGTTGATGTCCACGTCACGCTCAAGTAGCAGCCCCACGATGTCCGTGTAGCCACCTGTGCTGGCCAGTGACAGCGCGCTCTCCCGCTCCTTGGCCAGGATGTGGGGATCGGCACCCTGGGGAGAACAGAAGGGGCAGCGACAGAAGGGAGGGCAGAGGAAGTGGTGATGGGAGGGGTGAGGGCATTGCCTGGCATCCTGGTGTCCCCACGGCAGCCCCATCTTACAGACATAGCACCAGCAGACTCAGCCGAGACCCCGGCCCGCCCGAGTCCCTGGGAAGCCCCCAGCTGGGCTGGGACGCACCCACTCGAGCAAGAAGCGGACAGTCTCGATTTCTCCAAAGGCCGAGGCCCAGATGAGGGGAGTGAAGCCGCGCTCGTCCGGCTTGTTGATGAGGTTGTCACCTGGCAGGAGGGGGGGTGGTACCACTGGGCTGACCCCTGCCCACTCTCCCCAAGGCTGTGGGAGTGGGACGGGGTGGGTGGCTGGGGTCAAACATGGGGGGAAGCGCACACGTAGATGCACACACATGGACATGCTCCAACACATGTGGAGACAGGTCATGTCAGCACCTACATGCACACACACATGCGTGGTCAGACAGGCACGGACACGCCAGCGCACGCGTGTGGACACACCTTTCCTCAGATGCTCCTTCAGCTGGCTCAGCTCCCCCTGGGCTGCGAGCTGGTGGATGGACAGGGCTGGGGGCCAGAGAGAGGTAGGTCCTCACCCACTCACCCCTCCCTGCGCTCTGTGCCTCGGTTTACCCCCTGTCCGAAGTTGCTCCTCTCAGCCCCTGCCACTCCACCACCCCTTCTCCCCTTGGGGACCAGGGGCCCACTCACAGTCCAGGGTGGCCGGCAGGGCTGAGACCTCGTTCCCCCTCTGCCGGTTGGTGAGGGTCGTGGAGTGCTTCAGGGAGCTGCCTGCTGAGAGAGAGGAAAGGCCTCAGTTTCCCCCAGCATATGTCTCTGGGGCTTCAGGCCAGAACCTGGGGGCTTCGAGCTGCCAAAGACAGTGCCTGACCCCACCATCCACTCATTCCACTCTCCCAGATACCCAGGGTGTGCATTTCTCCTCCGTGCCTGGCAATCTCCTGGGCAAACGAGACCAAGTCCCTGCCCTCAAGGGGCCCATGGACAAGTGAGGGAGTCAGACAGAAACAGAGAAACAGAACGAAAGCTCAAGCTGAAACAATGTTCAAGAGAAAGGAAAAGCAGGTAGGAGGAGGTGGCAAGAAGGGAGGGCAGGCAGTGACTCCATTTAGACAAGGTGGTCAGGGAGGTCTGCTCCGAGGAGGTGACACTAACCGAGCTCAGCTAGTTGAAGAAACCAGCCCTGGGAAGAGGTGTGGGAAGAGCATTCTACACAGAGGGAACAGCAGGGAGGACGGAATTAGACATAGTCAACGACTCCAGTCAAAAGAAATCTTCAGACCCACAATAAGTTAAACACAGAATTACCAACTGACCCAGAAATTCCACTCCTAGGTATCTACCCCAAGAGTTGAAATCAGGTGTTCAGATGAAAACTCGTACACAAGTGTTCACAGCAGCACTAGTCACAATCGCCCAAAGGGGAATAACCCAAGTGTCTATCAATGGATGAATGAATAAACAAAATGCGGTCCATCCACAAAGTGGACTAGTACTCAGCCATGAAAAGGAATGAAGCACTGACATGTTACAATGTGGATGCACCTCAAAAACCACGTGCTGAGTAAGAGAAGCCAGACACAAAAGGCCATATAGTGTGTGATTCCATGTATATGAAACGTCCAGAACAGGCAAATCCACAGAGACAGAAAACAGATTCATGGTTGCCAGGGACTTAGGGGAGAAGGGGATGGGAAGTGACTGCTTAATGGGTGTGGGATTTCCTTTTTGGGGGTGACGAAATATTCTTGAATTATAGATAGAGGTGGGAGTTACACAACATTGTGAATGTACTTACTGCCACTGAATTGTATGCAATTCTGGTTAAAATGGTAACATTTATGTCATGTGGATTTTACCACAATAAAAAAAAAAAAACAAATAAGCAACGCCTCACTGGGTGGAGAGGGAAGACAGGGACTAGGCAGTGGGCCATCAAGACAGAAGCCCCATCTTGGGCCTGACAGTCCACCACCTGCACATCCCAGAGGCTGGAGTCCAAGGACAGTATCCTACCCTGAGGGGAGGAGGCGCCAGCATCGGGTTCAGGATTCCCAGGCTCCGGGGTGCAGGGGAAGAGACTGAGGACTACAGTGTCCGAGCCGTCGGGGGCCTCATCCCCAGGGTCTTCAGGGTCCCCAAATTCTGGCGTGGGGGGCTGCTGGGTCAGGCTGAGGTCCTCTGCAGGCTGGGTGGGCTCCATGGGGGAAGCTAGGGGGAAACGTCAAAAGGGGAGAGATAGCAATAATTATCAACAGCTCTTATTAAGTAGGCACTGATTGCATACCTGGCCTTGCACAGTGAGGGTGGGTAAACCGCCTCAGCCGGGGAAATTAAACCAGAGTTCAACTGCTTTTAAGGCCCACTCCTCTTCACCACCAGGGCACATATAACATACAGGGCCTAAAAGCCCCGGCCTCGGGGGCAGCTAGCAGGTTCGAATCCATCCACTTACAGGCTGTGAGGACTTGGACACATGACTTAACTACTCTGAGACTCAGTTTCCTCATTAATAAAACGGGGAAATGAGGTCTAAAAGAAATCATGTCTGTAAATAGCTGATCAGGGGGCCTGATACACGGGCAGAGCTTGGTAAATGTTCTCTGTAGTTATTTTTTTTCGTGGAGGGTCCCCAGGATGAGTGACGGCTCAACAAAGATGTGACTGGTCCCATCCCATCCCCCTCTCCCAAACCGATCCAGGAGGTCCACTCACCTCCCAGGAGCCGCCTCTGTCACTCCGCGCAGCAAGCCCGGGTCCCCCAAAACTTGGGGGCCCAATTCACGAACTTTACTCCTCCAACTGATGTATGGGAGAGCAAGCTGGAGCCTGGACCCGCAGCGCCTCGTCTTTTTCTGCCAGGACAGAGAGCAACTTGATACGCAACCGCTACCCCAACCCAAGAGCTCCCCCACTGCGCCTGCGCACCCCCACCCCCCAAAAGTGCGGAAGAGCCTGAGCGTTAAGCACTGCTTCTGGCCCTTTAAGTTTTGGAGAAGGGGCATGGTTTCCGCTGGGGCCCGAGCAATGCAGTTGCGCCTGCGCGTTCTTGTCCGCACAGCTCAGAAGGGAGCCCCACCGGATCGAGAGGGGTGGGCGGGACCTCGGAGGATTTCACTGCCACTGTCCTCCCACATCCTCAGCTCCGCCCACAGGTCTTTCCAGGGGGAGCCAATCAGCTCCACCTTCGGGCGGATGGGCGGGGCCCTCTCCAGTCCGGAAGCGGGAGGGACGCAGGCGGGGCGTTTGGGATTTAAAGGGGTGACACCATTCCCGCCCCCGCCGATAACAATGTCCCTTCTACAGTCTTGGGGGCTCATGAGCATGTGCAGGAATTTGGTGGCAGAAGGAGGGTACAACAAGGGCGTCTGTATGGCCCGAATGAGGCACTGTGTGGAGTGTTCCCCATTTCGTCTGCTCCCGGGAAAGGGGGTTCGGGAAACGAGGGCGCCCTTACCCCTACCCCGCCTAGGTGTCCCTCCTGGAGCTTCAGGGGGTCTCCGCCTCCTCCTCACCCGCCTCTTGGTGTGGCTCCTCCCCCACTCACTCACGTCCCTTCTTCTGTAGGCAGCGGGGAGGGCAAGCCAACTGGTTACCGGAACTGAGGCAGTGCAGGGTCCGGTTTTGCAGGGGAAGGTTTAGGCAGCCTTCCCCACCCCAGACTTCTGGTTCCGGTCCTCGGAATAGGGACGGTGTCGCTATGGAGGAACCGGAGATGCAGCTCAAGGGGAAGAAAGGTGGTGCGGGGCCCCGACAGGGACGGAGGGGCCAGGAACTCGCGACCTGACAGAGGGCGGGAAGGGGCAAAGGCGCGGAGGGAGCGTGCGGGGCTGTGATTGAACTGCCATCGAATCCTGGCTTGGCCGCTGACTAGTTTTGAAACCTTTAGAAAGTCTTGGTGCCTCAGTTTTGTCATCTTAAAATGGGGAGTATAATAGTCTCCCTCCCGACCCCCCATAGGATTGTTGTGAGAAATCGGTAATCCGATATTTGTAATGCATTGGAAGAACGCCTGGGGCGTGGCAGTCGCTGGGTGTATTGCTTCCTATATGTTTACCCATTTGTGTATGTTTACAATGACTTATCAAATATTTGTAAATCACATAGTTACAAATTACAAAATGCCACAAAGTTTTTTTGTGTGTGTGAGGAAGATCAGCCCTGAGCTAACATCCATTGCCAATCCTCCCCTTTTTTCAGGAAGATTGGCCCTGGGCTAGCATCTGTGCCCATCTTCCTCTGCTTTTTATATGGGATGCCGCCACAGCATGGCTCCACAAGCCGTGCCTCTGTGCGCACCCAGGGTCTGAACCTGAGAAGCCCGGCTGCTGAAGCGGAGCGTGAGCGCTTAACGCGTGCGCCATTGGGCTGACCCCACTGTTTTTGAATCATAGAAGTTTTAGTTATTTTACTGTGTGCCTTATTTTTAGTTAATTATTTAGAGGGCTCAAGTACATTGAATTCCACCTCCTTTGTAACAACACTGTGAGGTGTAAGGTATTACTACGCCCAATTCAAAACCAGGAAGCCTAAGAGGGTAAGAGGACATGGAGTTTGGAGGTGGCAGGCTCGGACCTGCCCCACTCAGGGCACAGCAGTGAGCTGGACAGACCCAGGCTGGACAGATTCATGCACAGCCTCCCTTGACTCCCAGACACACCAGGGTTCTCCTTCTTGCCAACCACTGTGCTGGGCAATAGCCAGGGTCCATCTCTCTAGAAAACTCGAGGTGGACACTGTTATCATTCCCATTTTTACAAATGAGGAAACAGGCTCAGAGAAGCCCTTGCCCTCACCAAGCCAAGCTATACATTTTTTTCCTCTAAACATGTAACCTAATAAAGAATGAGAATTTAAGTATGAGAGAAACGAACAAGGTGCTGAGGTTCAGAATGAGGTGAAAGGGACATCTGATTAAGCTTGGTGATCAGGGAAGGCCTTCCCCAGGAGGTGACATTTGAGCTGAGACATGAAGGATGAAAAGAAGCCAGTGGGGGGAGGGTGTGTCAGTGGCAGGAAAAGCAGGTGCAAAGGCCCTTAGGTGGCAAGGTGTTCAGCGCTGTGCTGCAACACAGTAGCTGCTGGTCATAGTATTTATGGGTATTTAAATTAATTAAAATTAGGTAAAATTAAAATTTGATATCTGAGTCACATTAGTCACATTTCAAATGCTCCGTAGCCACATGTGGTTACTGGCTACCATACTGGACAGTATAGATTATGGAATCTTTCCATCATCTCAGAAAGTTCTTTTGTATAGTGCTGAGAGTGTCCAAGGAATAAGCCAGGAGGCCATTGGGCGAGGCGGGCAGGGAAGTCAACAGCAGGCAAAACATACAGGGCCTTCTGGACCATGGTAAGGTAGGTGGATTTTATTCTCTGGCTGATGGGAGCCGTGGGAGGGTTTCCAGCAAGGAAGGGACATATCTGATGTGTTCATTAGGAGTTCACTCCATCTGAAGTGTGGAGATCAGACTGTTGGCAGGAGGGGAAGCAGGGAGACCAGGGAGGAGCTGAATCTGGCATCCAGGTGGGAGGTGGACCAGTGGGGACAGTGTAGTGGTAAGAATGAGTGAGATTTGGGCTTTGTTTTGTGGCTGAACCAGCAGGATCTGCTCTTGGATGGGAGGGTGTGGATGACCAGCTGGCTGGGAATGCCGTTTGTTGACGCAGACGCTGGGATGAGGATTTGTGTGTAATTAACTTACCAGGAGACGGGGAAACAAGATAGGGCTAGGAAGGAGGCTGAGCAAGGGGCGACCTCAGGTAAAATTCCACGAGGGAGGCCTCAGCCTGAACCCGGAGGGGAGCTCAGGGGGATGAGTCCCGGCTCTGACACACAGCTCGGGATGTGGGTTTTCATACCCCTCCATAGTCAGTCATGGCAGACGGCCATCCAGGGGTGTAAACTTTCAGGTATTTTCAGGTCCTGTAACTGGTGGGCATCCTCTGAAGAAAAATCTCAGAAGAAGTCACTGGGGTAAAAGGAATGCGAGGGGATCTGAGCAGGTGGCACTGGTGTCCACTACAAGTGGATCTGGGAGGGGAGAGATCATTCACTGGGTGCATTAACGTGATTGCAATTGAGATCCTTCTGTGACTCCCAGTGGGAGGTGTTTGGCCCTGCTGTGACCATCTCCTTCAATCCATCACCGGGGCCACAGGCGACCCAGCTGCTGGGGGAGACACTGGACACCGCTCTCTGCTCTGGCTGGACTCCTGGGTTGATGAATCAGGAATCTGATGCTTTGTCCCTTTGTCCTCCCTGTTCCTGTGTACCCCCCTTACCCCACCGACTGGCCGACTGTCAATCCTGGATCCAGTCACCGACAAATTTACCGAGAGCGTCTATGTCCTAGCCAATGAGCCGTCCGTGGCCCTGTATCGCCTGCAGGAGCACGTGCGCCGCTCTCTGCCTGAGCTGGCCCAGCACAAGGTGAGCCTCGCCTGCCCCTACCTTCCACCTCCCCTAGGGTCCACACTTCATGAGCTGGGGCCTGCAGTGTGGAGCAGGGGCTGTTGGCGCAGGAGTCCAAGTCGGGACATCAGCAAGGAGGCATGTGGTCGTTGAGTCACACTGGGGCCTTGGGTAGACAGATCTGGGGCAGATTTTGAAGGAGAGGACAGCAGCATCTGTGGTAGTTGTGACCTGTGTGGTGAGGAGGCAGCCGTGCAAAGACTGGAGAGAAGGGCATGCCAGGCAGAAGAAATAGCCAGTGCAAATGCCCTGAGGTGTGGTGGCCAGGTATTCACAGAAAGCCTGACTGGTGAGGGAGGGGAGTTGCAGGAGGAAAGGTCAGGGGCTGGAGGGGGCCAGTCTCTGTGGCCATGGTGATCGGTGATCGGGTGCTCCATCCCAGGAAGCTCGGAGGACAGCCTTCCTGGTGGCAGCCCTCCCTGCTAAAAGCACTTCCCGTCCCAACAGGCTGACATGCAGCGGTGGGAGGAGCAGAGCCAGGGAGCCATCTACACAGTGGAGTATGCCTGCAGGTGAGCACCACAGCCTCCACACTGTGTCCCAGCCTCCTGGGCTGGGACATTCAGGGCACCCCAGCCAGCTGTCCAGTGAGCCCTACCCTTCCAAACCCATCAGAGTGGAGGCATGTGGATCTCACCTCCCCTGGCTGCACGGTGGGTTCCACCCCAGGCTTGTGCTTCTCACCACTTGCCCCAGCCCTGAGTGCCTCTGGCAGGCTTCTTCCCTGCACTGAGCCCCTCCCTATCTATCAGAGGAAGCGGTGATAAGTATTCAGGGGGTGCCAGGGGGCAGGGAGCCGGCACCTTGAGGGGCTGGCATTTCCCACTCACAGCCAGGACCACAGACAGGCCACTGGGGTGGATGGCAGCTGGGGGCCAAGCCAAAGCGCTAATATGGCTGTTTATTTTTAATTATTTCTTTCCAATTTTTTTTATTGTGGTAAAATATATAAACATAAAATTTATCATCTTAACCACTTTTAAGTGTACAGTTCAGTGGTATTAAACACATTCATAATGTTGTGCAACCAACCCCACCATCCATCTGCAGAACTCTTCATCTTCCCAAACTGAAACTCTGTCCCCATTAAATGCTAACTTCCCTCCCCCCACCCCAGCCCCTGGCACCCCCGTTCTACTTTCTGTGAATCTGCCTCCTCTAGGGACCTCATATAAGTGGGATTGTGCAGTATTTGTGCTTTTGTGTCTGGCTTATTTCACTGAGCATAGTGTCCTCAAGGTTCATCCATGCTGTAGTGTGTGTCAGAATTTCCTTCCCTTTTAAAACTGAATAATATTCCATTGTATAGATGGACCAAGTTGTGTTTATCCATTCATCTGTCGATGGACACTTGGGTTGCTTCTATATTTTAGCTATCGTGAATAAAGCTACTGTGAACATGGGTATACCATTTATTTTTGTTTGTTTAACTTTCTCAAAATCTTCAGATTGTTTTGATTTTTCCCAAGGGAAAGATGTGCCTGCCAGTAAGAAGCAGTAGCTGATCTTCTTTCTATTACTGCAGCTTTGCCAGCCTGGCCTCCTGCCCTTCTGTTCGTTCCCCATGACTGTATTTAATGCCCTGGCTGGTCCGTTTACCTCAGGAGTTTGGCGACTTTATTTAGAAGTGCCGATTGCCTCCACCTTGGGCTGTGGGTCGTTATGGTGGAGGCTGGACACTCCCTAGCAATTCTCATCTGTGGCACCATGGGGTTTGCTCGCCTCTTGCTGTGTGGTTGTGTGGGTAAAGGTTCCTAGACAGAAAGTCCCACTGCCGGTGGCACTGAGCTGGGTGTTCTGCCATCAGCAGCCTTGGCCCCTCCACTGGGCCTGGGGGTGACCTGGACACATGGTGTCTTTCTAAGGATGGTGGTCCTAGACACCTTCCTTAGCTGAAGGAAGAGTAGGAAAGAAATAGGAGTGTCTCTCTTTTGGCTGCTGAACAGCTCCTGGACAGCCGTGAGCTCATCAGCAAGGCCCAGGTTCAAGGAAGGACGTGTCCAAGTCTGTACTTTCTCCTGGTTTCTCTAGCTGCACTGTGGGAGCCCCGGGCCACAGGTGGCTGTTCACATTTAAAATTTTAATGCCTTAAAATGAAATAAGGTGAAAGATTCAGCTCCTTGGTTTTACTAGCCACAATTCAAGTGCTGAGCAGCCATGTCAGTGGATAAAGAACGTCATGTTCCAGAAAGTTCCTCTGGACTGTGCTGGGCTAGGCAGGAGGCCAATGTGCTGTGAGCATTCTCTTTAGGGAGATGTGAATTTCTTTAATGCTAGAAGACCCGTGTTTTCCTTTACAGACATGAAAGAGCCCTTATCTTTTAGTTGTTTGAAATGCCTTACTCAATGTTAATGGTTGGTGTAGAACTGAAAGATGTCACAGTGATAGGTTGGTTGGGGTAAACTATTCAACAGTGAGCTTATATTGGAGAGCTTGTTTTCGAGGTGGGCCATCAAGCGCCAGAAAAGCTGTCTGCACATGCTGGTGTTGAGATGAGCAAGTTCACAGAGTGGGTGACAGCCAACGTGTCCCCCCCTCCCCCCTTGATCTAGTGGCCATTTTCAAGCAGGTCCCTGACTGATAACAAATGGGAGTGATTTTTTTGTCTTTAATAGAAGGACTTTAAAACGACACTTCTATTTTTATTGTAGATGCCATTGCCCGGCGACTATCTGGCATTAGCCAGGCCCCCAGTCCAGCTGGAAGGGACGTTTGCATTAGCCGGTCTTCAGCGTGGCTCCAACACAGGGCTCACGCATCTTTGCAGTAGTGCCCCCAGCTGGCGATGTGTTATCCTGGTGCCATCTAAACTCACCTCCAGAGCGTTTCACAGTCAAGTTAACCAGCTTCCTTTGGGGGCAGGAGTATGTTATCTAAGAGGGAAGCAGGATATGTTTGAGGCCATCTTTGCATGCTGACTGCTCCTTCAGAGTGGTAGATGGTCTAGCAGTGGTGAAGGGAAGGTTGCGTCTAGCCATCGCGCACTCTGTTGCATGATGTCATCTAGGTGAAGCAGGGAGGTCTAAACTTGGAGCCCATGGTGAGCACTCAGGGAGCCCCACAGAATCCCTGAGGTGCCTGCTGAGCGCCCAGCCTGTGCAGGGCTCCCGCCGAGCTCTGGTGGTGGGAGACACCTGCGGGCACCAGGAGGGCGGGGGAGGCAGGGTGGCACCGACCAGGTCCATCCTCCCCTTTCAGCGCCGTGAAGAACCTTGTTGACAGCAGCGTCTACTTCCGCAGTGTGGAGGGTCTCCTGAAACAGGCCATCAGCATCCGGGACCACATGAACGCCGCCACCCAGGGCCACAGGTAGCTCCTTGGACCGCCTGCCCCTGCTGCTCTCAGCCTCCTCACTGTAAGGACCTTTGCCGCTCAGCCAGGAACTGCTGCTTCTTGCTCCTTCCTTTGTCTCACAGTGTCTGGTGACTTCTCTTGTTCTTGGGCATCTGTGGTGGGAGAGTTGGCCCCCAGGGGTTCAGTCACTCAGCACCCAGGTCCTGAGCTCTGCTCTGTGCCCGGCCCTGGGCTGGGCACTGGGGACACAGCAGTGACCGAAACAGGTGTGTTCATGGTCTCTCAGGGGGACACGCAGCAAGCAGGTAAACATGGAACAGACAGGCATTTCAGACGTGTGAAGGAGGAAGAGGGATGTGGGGCCTCTCTGAGAGGCAGCGGTGGTGTGAGTAGAGGCCTGAACCACGCACGTGCAGACGTTATGACCAGGACGGTGTTTGGGTGGGCAGTGGTGAGGGTTAGGCCCTGGGTCTGGTGAGCTAGGTGCGGTGCAGGAACATCTAGGAGGTGGGTGTGGTTGGGGTGGGGGAGACGGGGTCAGGGAGGTGGGCCTCGCCGGCAGCAGGGAAGGGTGCCTGGAGCTGAAGGAGGCTTTGAGCTGAGGACCAGATGGTCTGAAATGAAAAGCACTTACAGTCCTTGCACACTGGGGAGAGAGTTTTTGGAGAAGTAACTCTTTGTTTCTGTTTTCATTATAACTTAATAAACGAGTTTGAACACAGGTGCATGTGCTGTAAGCCTAGCTCTACCTTGAGCTGCGTCTGGCTCCTGTGGTTTGGGTTTTGGCAGGCCTGTCTCCCACCGGGCATTGAGAAGGGGATAAAAACCTGTGGTGCTGTTTCTGAGATATGAGACACAAGAACTCAAAAACAAACACACCTTGAGGGGCTGGCCCTGTGGCGGAGCGGTTAAGTGCATGTGCTCCGCTGCTGGCTGCCCGGGTTCGGATCCTGGGCGTGCACCGACGCACTGCTTGTCAAGCCATGCTGTGGCGGCATCCCACTTAAAGAGGAAGATGGGCACGGATGTTAGCTCAGGGCTGGTCTTCCTCAGCAAAAAGAGGAGGATTGGCATGGATGTCAGCTCAGGGCTGATCTTCCTCACAAAAACAAAAACAAAAACAAAAAAAACACCTTGAGAATGTGTAGGAATGGATGTGTACCAGTCTTCCCTCTGAGGGTGGCGTGACAAGGTTCATCTGGGTTCATTTGCATTCAGTGACCATCTGGCTCTGGCCGCTCTGCCTGGGGTGGTGACAGCATCAGAACCAGAGTTCACTGTGTAAAGCGCCTTGTACAGCGCTCTGCACACAGTAGGGCGTCAAAAAGTTATGGCTATTTACTTTCAACTCACCGTTTCCCAAGTGCTTTCAAACGCCCTGCTTGTGCCTGCTGTTGGGAAAATGTAACATGCTTCTAAAAGATGCTAGTAGCAGCTTGAGGTGCTGCTAATGCCTCCCTTTACAAGCCCTTTAGGTTTGAAGCGCCCAGTGCTGCATGAGTCCCAGCCATGACCTCTGTAGTGGGTGGCTGGTCCCATTTTTCCAGAGGATGCCCTGAAGGCTGAAGCCAGGGGTCTTAGGGGACCAGAGGGTGCCCAAACCCACACTCCAGCCTAGCTGAACAGGCCTCACGGCCTCTGACCTCGGCCTCATGGATGCTGCACATGTTTTGTTCCAGCCCCGAGGAACCGCCCCCACCCTCCTCGACCTGATCCCAGAAGAGACTTGGAGGTGCTTCGGCCCCTCTAACCCAGGTCAGTGCCGAGTGAGGCCGCGAGCCTCCCTGTGCTCCATGCTCTGAACTAACCCACCCTCTCAGCGTTCAAGAAGGACCGGCTTGTCTAACCACTTGGGCTTTCTCGCTGGGCTTGTAGGACGGTTTCATCAGTGGAAGGCTGCAGGGTGGGGGGACTTTGTGCCCTCTGCTGCTCAGGCAGTTGTCAACCCATCTCCTTCATGTTCTCTCTCCCATCTTCCTGCCCCTTATCCAGGCCACAGGCCCTGTCCCATCCCAAGGAGCTCCCCAAGACAGAGAGGGGAGCCCACGTTTCCCCTGCCCTGCCACATGCCAGCTGCTTGCTTCACCCACACACATTCTCAGGCAGAGCCCGGCATGACGGTTACCCATCCAGCTCTGGAATCCTCGCTTCACCAATGACCCTGCCGTGTGACCCTGAACAAGTCCCTCCCCCTCTCTGGTCTCTGCTTTTCCCTTCTGCCAGAGTGGCTCATCTGGCAGCAGAGATGGTGCTGCTGCATACAGTGATGTGTGTTTCAGCAGTCAGCTACTGCTGCGTGACAAGCTGTCCCCAAACTTAATGGTGTATACCATCAGTCATTGCCTGCTCAGGATTCTGTGATTTGGGCTGGGCAGTTCTGCTGGTCTCACCTGGAGGCCACTCATGTGGCACTAGTCAGAGCTCGAAGGGACCGGATAGTCAGAGGTGGCCTCACTCACACATCTGGCCCTTGACCAGTGCTGTTGGCTGTGGGGGTCCAGTTCTCTTCCCTGTGGCCTCTCCAGCAAGCCACCCTGGGCTTCTCCTGGTGGCCGGGCACCCAGTGCATACGTGCTCATCCAGCCTCTGCTTGCTTCACATTTGCGTATGTCCCATTGGTCAAGGCCAGTGACGTGCCCAGCCCAGGACGGGATGGGAGAGGACTGCAGGAGGCTGTCAGTCCTGGGAGGTGTGGTTGACCCTGTAAGGAGAGCATGACTCCAAGAAAGGCCTGGAGTATTGTTATTCTGTGCCCGTGCAGGGCAGAACCCTGCAGGTCCAGGGTGCCCAAGAGACTTAGTGAGCCCTGGCTTGTGTAGCGCTCCGAGCCCCCTGCCCATGTGCTGTCATCACAGCTCTGTGCTGTGCTCTGTGCTCTGTGCTGTGGATGCCCTCTCAGAGGGTCGGGGAGGCGTGGGTGCAGACGGGACCCTCCCACCCCCAGAGCAGCAGCCCCCGAGGCCAAGAGGCACCAGAGTTGACGTGTGTGTGGTCAGAGAGTGTTTATTGGGCCCCTGCTCTGGGCCGGGCGTAGCTCTGGGCCCAGGGGTGGTGAGGAACTGCAGGCTATGGGACCACCTGGTGGGCATCTGGGAGGGCCTGGAGCGGGAGGAGCTGCCGAGGGTGTCAGCAGTCCACCCTAGTGCCACACACGATGCGGCCCGCCAGCCCTGGGCCTGTCCCGTCTCCCCTACCCCCCATCCCCTCCCCTGCACCCTGGTCGCTCCCACCCTCACGCCTCAAGGATATTACCCTGCTGCCCTCCGCACACCCTGGGTCAACTGCTGTCCTTCCACTGCTGTGCCCCCTCGGAACAAGATGCTCTGTGCCTCCTGATCCCGCTTTTGTCCCTACAGACCCTGCACCCCACCCCTACTCAGAGCCTTCCACCCCTACTTTTCCCCAATGCTGTTCCCCCTGGGGTCGGTGATGACCTTCACAGGGTCAAGTACTGGCCTCCCCCGGCCTCCAATCTCACCTGCCTCTGCGCTCCCAGGGCCCAACACACAGCCCCGTTTTACAGAAGAGGAAACAGCCTCAGAGGCGAGGCAGGTCACCGCCCTTGATGGGAAGTGCCAGGAATCACACTGGGACCCTCTAACCCCCAGGTTTCACTTCTTCCCCCAGCCCCGCCCAGCCTGCCTCAGATGCTGCCGCATCAGGGTGACCCTGCAGCCCTGGGGGTCTCTCAGACTGCGCCCTGACCCTCTCCTCCCAGCCTGACCAAAGCTGGGTCCTTGGAACAACGTTGTGGGACTTGACAGGGACTGAAGATTGAGTGCATGTGGCCAGTGCATTTCTCCTGCTCCTGCCCAGAGACTCCAGACCAGACGTGAATGTCCTGAGATGAGGCTTTGCTGCCCGTGGACTCTTACTAGCCCCCATCAGCCATGGACATGGCCACAGCCCTTCAGACCAATAACTGCCACCATGATAATCCCGATCATGCACCCACCATGTGCCCAGCACTGTGCTGGGGGCTTTGCAAAGGTCACCTGTCATCCTCAGACAGCCCTGTGAAGCAGATGTCACCCCTAAATACAGATTGGGAAAGAGGCTCTGAGAGGTGGCGTGACTTGCGCAAGGTCACACAGCTAGAGGAAAGCGGGACCCTGGCCTGGTTTGGTCCCCGCCCTGCCTCTGACATGCTGTGTGACGTGCGCTGTGCCCCTCTGGTCCTCCATTTCTCCATCAGGACAAGGAAGGCTGGATTGGACCTTCTCTGCAGGCTGAGGCAGACGTTCATAGGCCTGCCTGCCTGGCCTGCATTATGCCCTGAGCAGAAATGCCCAGTCTAGGCTCAGGCCATATGGAGAGGCCACCTCTAACTCCAGGGGTGGATGTGGGACCCTGGCCTGACTGGCCAATCAGAGCCCCTTGTTTCCCAGGTCACAGTGACTGGTTCGAGATGGGCGTGTGACCCAATGAGAGGTCTTCCCTGGGAATTTTGCTGGAAGCATGGGAAAGGTACCATCTTCCCACCAGGGTTGTTGAGCTGGGCGGATGGAAGGAGAAACCTGAGAACATTGCATGGGGCCCTGGATCCAGCTGTACCCTACACCAGAAAATCTCAGATTTTTAGTTTGATGAGTCCCTAAATTACTGTATTTGACAAAATTGCTTTGAGTCCATTTCTGCTGCCTGCAGAAGAGCCCACGCTGATCCCTGCAAATTCCAAGCCTGGGAGATCAGAGTCCACAGTTTGTACACCTCAAAGGCCAGCTGTGTGCCAAGGTGGTGTCCAGCAAAATGTATCAGGAAGGTCAGAATGGAGTTGTTTTGGGTATAGCCATGGTGGGTCCCAGCGCCACTGTTCTGGGGGGATCCCCCAGTTTGGCATTGTGAGGTGGTTGGGGGAGGGGTGGCAAAGGCTAGGGGCATCCTAGGGGTGATGGAGAAGGTCCTGGTGGGGTGTCAGGGCTGTGGAGGGGCCTGAGGGCCTGGGAGAGGGTTCAGGCACACAGGAGATGTCGAGAAAGGACTGCCTTGCACCACCAGGAAACGGGGGTCAGCCCTTTCTCTCTCTGTCTAGGGTGTATAGGGGGCCTCTGTGCCACCATCCTGCCTCCCCACTGTCCCAGCTCAGTTTGCGGGGAGGGAGGAGCCTGAGACCCACCCCATTTGAGGCCCTGACTGGTGTGTGGCCCCCACAGAGTCACTGTCCCTCTCCTCGCTTGCTCTGAAGGCACCTCTCCTTGTCCATCTGTCCGTCTGTCCTTCCACCTGTCCACCATGCAGCCATTTATCCAGCAAACATTGACTGCCGTCTGTGGACGAGGCCCTACCCAGGGGACACCCTGGTGAGCAAGACAGGCCAGCCCTGGTTCCAGGGCTCAGACCCTGGACAGACGGGCGGCTAAGTGAGATAATTGTATACCACATCCCAGGCGCTGTGAGCTGGGGGTCGGGGGGCAGTGGTGGGGAGCCCCAGACCCCCGTAGGGCTCCCCATCACCAGAAGCCCCTGGAAGAGACCTCAGCCAGTGACTAATAGCCCTCTCAAACAGGTCTAAACAGAACTCTGGGCTGTCAGGTCCCCCGCGACCCCAGAGTCCGGGGGCTCGCGGGGGCGCTGGTTAATTTGCATCTCATTTGCATGCACGTCTCGGCCTTCCGGCCCAGAGGACGCCGCGCCCTGGCGTGCCGCCAGGGGGCGCAAGAGACAAAGCGTTCGCGGGGCGTTCAGCCTCTGAGCGGTCATCGTCCGCAGGCAGACCTGGCCGGTCCTGGTGGGCACATTGTGACCCTCCGCCCTTTTTCACCCCGTATGCCCTCGCTCCCATTTTTCAGAGAGAGAACTAAAAGGCTCCGCGAGGCCAGATTACCCGGCAGGACCTCGCATCTGCCCCCACGTGCTCTTGGACACTCGCCGGACACATCCCTTCCTCACCTGAGCGAGGACTTGCTCCCAGCAGAGCCCCAGAGACAGGTGGACAGCTGGGAGAGAGGCAGTGACCTCCCCATGCCATGGGGCATTGAAGCAGGAGCCTAGCACCGACGAGGGTGGGGGTGGCTTGGAAGGGATCCCAAACTTGCATGAAATGTGGCCCCCAACCACTCCTTCAAATCTGTGGATGGAGTTAAAAGGAGGCCAAGAGGGCAGTGACTGGCCCCCGGTTCGTCTGCAGTGGTCAGGACGGAAATGAGACTTCAGTTGGCTTTTGTCCTTTTCCCCTGATCCAAGTCCTGGTTTTTATTTCAGGCCTGCTCTGCACTCCCAGAGGGTCCTGCCCCTGGGAAGCCCCTTCCTAGCCCTGCCATATCCCCTAGCGAGGCCTTCGGATGCCTCAAGTTTGGTCCTCATGCCTCTCCACCCTCAGGCCCTTTCCAGAGCTCTCTAGGTCTTCAAGAAGCCCATGGAGACACCCCTTTGGTGCTGCCACACACTGGGCCTGGCCCTGAGGAGCACCCCTCAGACATAGACACAGAACTGGACTCGGACATCCCCAACCCCCTGGGTCAGTGCTGGGCTGGAAGGAGGGGTGGGGGTGGAAGAACCCCAAATGGAAGGGGGATAGGGAAGGCTTTTGGAGAAGGGGTCATTGGAGGTGGACCTAGAAACACTCCCCCCTGGAGGAGGGGCTGCTATTGTCACCACTTTTCACATGAGCAAACAGGCTCAGAGGGGTGAAGTGACTGGCCTGAGGTCACACAACAACTGGGAGTCAGAGAGAGGATGGGTACCCAGGGTTCGCTAACCCTGAGGCCCTGCCCACTGGACCACACTGTCCTTGCCATGGAAGGTCCTTTAGCGCC